ACTATGTATTTACGCGTAAATACTATGTATTTACTATGTAGCCCGAATTTCCTATATAATTCACTCCAGAATGCTGTTCCCATAAGAATAATGTAAATTAGATTAGTCAATTTCAGACCCCCAAAAATTCAATTACAAAAGCACTTATAATCATTCACTTACATAATTGTTCGAGTTGGGAGCAGTACAAAACTTGGGGTACCACTGTATAATAATACTGTACTGTAGCGTTCGCGAATGTTTTGATGCGCAAATATATTGTTTGGAAATATAATAATAGCATTTACTTAGCCTTACAGTACTGCTTCCTTGACCTATTGAACCACAAACAATCATAAAACACATGAAAACATCCTAAAATATTGTATATACATGTTATGGTTTAACTCTGATTGTTGTGACCCCAAATCCTACAGTGTGTCTGTCGCAATATTTTCGAAAACAGAAAAAGAAAATTAGTTTTTCTTATGAAATGATAGAGAATCTTATCCTGATGTTAATGACACCAAAAGTACGAAATTTGATGGAAAACTTACGGAATTACGTTTTCGTGAAGTTAGCGATCTCGGTGATGTTTATGCATCAGCGATTTCGACCGCTTTGAGACCTATTTTCGGCCAATTCCATTGTTCCAGTCGACCAAATTCATAGCAATTTTTTTAAAACTCCATTTGTTCTATTGATTGAGTACAAGAAACCGCCCATTTACAGATTTCAACTACCCAATAAAGTGGTCAGAAATTGGCAATTTGGCCAATTTCACTCAAATTAAAAAATGGCAATTTCAAAATAGGGTCCAAAATGAACAATGCAGACATTCCTGCCACTAAAATAACATTTTCTTTGTTCATCAGCCATCCCTCTAGGCCCCTCTTATATTACTCTTGTTTTCTATTTTGAATTTTTATTATCACAAAAAATTTGAAGATTTAATGCTGTGCAGACTACTGCATTATTGTAATAATTGTATAAATAATGTCAACCCATTCATGGCTGCTTATTAGAATGGCTAGTTGGACACTTATTGGACAATGACATCATTTGTTTACTCTTGAACATCAGCAAAAATCAAACATTTCCGCTTCTTTGAGCTCAATTTCAAGGTCCTTTTCATCGTGAAACCAATCAAAATTATCTCAATTTCTGTAATGTCTTCTATTCTATCAAATGAGACCAAGAAAACGAGAATACAGTGATACCTCAAATTTCAAACTGCTCCCAACTTGAACAATGTTAGTGTATTTTTGTAAGTGCTTTTGTAAGTGTATTTTTGTAAGTGCTTTTGTAAGTGTATTTTTGGGGGTCTGAAACAGACTAATCTAATTACATTATTCCTCATGGGAACAAATTCGTTTGGTAATGGCTCTCGAAAATCCTGGGACGAATTAAGGCCGATATTCGGGGTTCCACTGTACAACCATAGATACTATACGAAAATACATCTCAAAGTTGGCGTTTTAATCCAAAAACACGGTCGGAGGTTTTTTTCTCTCGTGCACTGCGTGCTGCACACTGACCAGGCAGACCCATTCTCTCGCATGTGGGCCTACCAGCTTTCTCCCGCTTGATTTGAAGCCACTAGAATTTTGGAGCATAAATACGTCAAAAACACTGGCTCATAAGACATGTATATATATGACTGAAACAGTCAAAGGGTTAATATCAAATAATGAACAAATAATTACGAACAGTAACTGGACAATGACTAAGTGAGTGGCAGACTGGCAGGCTGCCGGTTGAGGGGGAAATAGGGAGGGTAGGAGGGACGCGGCGGGAAACATTTTTCTGTACTTTACGGCATAGGCATTCGGCTGGGCATTCGTGAATGTTTGAAGCTCGCTAAAGTGGACCTCATGAAAGTTGAGGCCTAGCTGTATAATATTGTGCATAATGAAAGTGCAAACTGCAGCTTGTCCTCTGGTAAACCAATACATACTTTCAACACCTCTCAATGCAAAAGTAATTCTTTCTCTGTGTATATTCAGAGAGGGGGAGAGAGAGACATAATTTAGAATAACCCAGTAATAATAATAATAATTAATAATAATAAATAAGTATAATAATATAATAGTGATGTAACACATTAAAATGTTTCTTACATACTAATATAACCAACTGTGACTTACAATATTTCCAATATTGAGAGGAAGGGAGGGAAGGAGACAGATAGACGGGCACACAAAGACAGACGACTCTTTTATTTCTTGAGTTCAAAGTAAGTTGTAGAGAAGGGAAGTAGAATACATTAATTCTGAAGGATGACTGGTTGGGCAACATGTTGTGGTTAATAGGGTCAGGTGAATAGTGACGTTTGTGTATATGTGAAGAGATAGTGGATAATTAATAGTAATTGTCTTGACTGTAGTAGTTTGTCCTACTCTGGTAGGAGGCAGCTCGTGTATTAAAGATCACATGTGGTCTATAATATATACTCAAACCCACCAAGTTTTTAGGGGTTATGACTTAAGAAATCATAATAACATAATTATAAACAAACCCTGGAATGGGTTCAAACTCCACCTGTTCCTTGGTTTGTTTTTTCCAAGGGCTTGTGTTTCTTGACGTTGCATAAGATTGTCTGCATAATATATTTTGTTTCAGATTTAGGTGAATTTTGTGTCTTTGAAGCCTTTGAAGGACCACACAGAAAATTGATTTAGACCTGCAAAAGTTATCAGGTACATTTTGAATGGAAATTGTGGTTTTCAATTTAGGGACTGTGCACCAAGCCCCAACAATTTAGGGGCTGTGCACCAAGCCCTAACAATTTAGAGGCAGTGCGCCAAGCCCCAACAATTTAGGGGCTGTGCACCAAGCCCTAACAATTTAGGGGCAGTGCACCAAGCCCCAACAATATGGGGACTGTGCACCAAGCCTCAACAATTTAGGGGATGTGCACCAAGCCCCAACAATTTAGGGGGCTGTGCACCAAGCCCCGACAATTACGGGGCTGTGCACCAAGCCCCAACATTTTAGGAGCTGTGCACCAAGCCTCAACAATTTAGGGGCTATGCATCAAACCCCAACAATTTAGGGGCTGTGCACTAAGGCCCAACAATTTAGGAGCTGTGCACTAAGCCCCAACAATTTAGGGGCTGTGCACCAAACCCCAACAATTTAGGGGCTGTGCACCAAGCCCAAACAATTTAGGGGGCTGTGCACCAAGCCCCAATAATTTAGCAGGCTGTGCACCAAGTCCCAACAATTCAGGGGGCTGTGCACCAAGGTCCAACAATTTAGGGGCTGTGCACCAAGCCCTAACAATTTAGGGGCTGTGCACCAAGTCTTAACAATTTAGGGGCTGTGCACCAAGCCCTAACAATTTAAGGGGCTGTGCACCAAACCCCAACAATATAGGGGCTGTGCACCAAGCCTCAATAATTTATGGGCTATGCTTCAAGCCCCAACAATTTAAGGGCTGTGCATCAAGCTCCAACAATTTAGGGGCTGTGCACCATGCCCTAACAATTTAGGGGCTGTGCACCAAGTCTTAACAATTTAGGGGCTATGCTCCAAGCCCCGACAATTTAAGAGGCTGTGCACCAAACCCCAACAATATAGGGGCTGTGCACCAAGCCCCAACAATTCAGGGGGCTGTGCACCAAGGTCCAACAATTTAGGGGCTGTGCACCAAGCCCTAACAATTTAGGGGCTATGCACCAAGCCCTAGCAATTTAGGGGGCTGTGCACCAAGCCCCAACAATTTAGGGGCTGTGCACCAAGCCTTAACAGTTTAGGGGTTGTTCACTAAGCCCCAACAATTTAGGAGCTGTGCACCAAGCCCCAGCAATTTAGCTGTGCACCAAGCCCTAGCAATTTAGGGGCTGTGCACCAAGTCCCAACAATTTAGGGGCTGTGCACCAAGCCCCAACATTTTAGGGGCTGTGCACCAAGCCCCAACAATTTAGGGGCTGTGCACCAAGCCCCATCAATTTAGGGGCTGTGCACCAAGCCCCATCAATTTAGGGGCTGTGCACCAAGCCCCAACAATTTAGGGGCTGTGCACCAAGCCCCAACAATTTAGGGGCTGTGCACCAAGCCCTAACAAATTAGGGGCTGTGCACCATGCCCCAACAATTTAGGGACTGTGCACCAAGCCCCAACAATTTAGGGGCTGTGCACCAAGCCCCAGCAATTTAGGGACTGTGCACCAAGCCCCAGCAATTTATGGGCTGTGCACCAAGCCCCAACATTTTAGGGGCTGTGCACCAAGCCCCAACAATTTAAGGGCTGTGCACCAAGCCCCATCAATTTAGGGGCTGTGCACCAAGCCCCATCAATTTAGGGGCTGTGCACCAAGCCCCAACAATTTAGGGGCTGTGCACCAAGCCCCAACAATTTAGGGCTGTGCACCAAGCCCGAACAATTTAGGGGCTGTGCACCAAGCCCCAACAATTTAGGGGCTGTGCACCAAGCCCCAACAATTTAGGGGCTGTGCACCAAGCCCCAACAATTTAGGGGCTGTGCACCAAGCCCCAACAATTTAGGGGCTGTGCACCAAGCCCCAACAATTTAGGGGCTGTGCACCAAGCCCCAACAATTTAGGGGTTGTGCACCAAGCCCCAACAATTTAGGGGCTGTGCACCAAGCCCCAACAATTTAGGGGCTGTGCACCATGCTCTAAATAAAAATGGGCACTGAAAATTTCAAATAATTGAATGAATTCATTTATTGGCCGCCCATAAGAGAACTGGACGCTGTTTCTTTGTATTAAAAACTTCACAAGAATTTAGGATAATATCAGTTGTCTTATACTTGGGTGTATAATAAACCTAGTACTGTGTACCAGGTTTATTATGTACTCTGCAGTATTATATTTTGAAACGGCTTTATTGTCATGTGAAGCGTTAAGAAATTGTAGTGGCTCGATTCTCCATTTGCTAAGCACTGCCTTGTCTTTGATCAGTCAGGCTGTTGGTAACTGCCATTTTAAAATTTAAGGTTGAAATGGATAAGTATTTTCATCGGCTTTGTTATTATAGTGTGTTTCCCATGCACAGGATGGGGACAGCGAGGGGGACAGTGGGTTTGTGACACCAGACAGCACCACGAAGGAGAAAGTGTCACGATTCATAGAGGGCGAAGATGTACTCTCGCATGGCAAGGATGGTCTCTTCTACTTAGGAATTATAGTTGTGGTAAGCACTTGCAAGATAATACTTTAATACACAAATAATCTGCACATAGAAAGAAACTTTATGATGATGTTTTAGTCTGGCTGGAACCATTAACCATTGATTAGTTAATGGTCCAAGTCAGACCGAAATGTCGTCATAAAGTCTCTCGTATGTGCGGGTTATTTGTGTATTGTTCCAGTCATGGTATTGTGCCTATGTGTTCTAATGTTTTAACTTTTCTTCTCAGTCCAATATAAAATGCAGGTAAGGAATGTATGTAATTAGTGTTGGCATAAGTTGTTCTGGGGCCTTGTATTAAGCTCAAAAGTTCACCTTGTATCTTGTTGGAAATATTACATTATAATTTCAAGTCGGTTTACACAATGCTTCGTGAATTGAAGACTGTTAAGACAGATATTAGGGAGTGTGTGCTCTGTAATACTGAAATTTGTTATGAAAAATGAAAGCAAAGCAATGATCATTAGAAGAGCTTTGGGGTACTGATAGTGTCCGACATCCACTGTGTTTTGGCAACATGTAAAAAAAAATTATTGGTAGAGTTTCAAAGCACATAATTGTGGGAATGTACTAAAGAGCAACTAAATTTTGCATTTAGTCTAGGAAGATGTCAGAGGAAAATTGTAAGGAACTCTGAAGATTGTAATAAGCTATTCATGAATGTAAGACATAATACACACATATTTTATGAAGAGAAAGTCACTGCTGCTGTGGTAGTTTATAACAGAAATCTTTCTTTAATAAGATAGATTATATTTTTGCGAGATGCTTCTTTGTTTACTCTCGGTATCATTTTTGTACAATAATTTAAAGCACAATATGTAGTACTGAGATTAGTTAAGAGACAAATGAAGTATGAGTGCCTCAAGAAATCTTAATGACACGATTGCAAGCAAGCCATACCACGGGAGGGGTTAGAACCCGTGATCAGAGAGTCATACAACTCCAGACCGATGCATTAGCCACTGATTGTGGGTTCTAACCCTGCCCGTGGTATGGTTTGAAGTGTGAGTAAGGCGTTGAACAAGGTGTGTTCAAGGCAACACTGATGATCATGCAGAAAAACTAGCAGTAAGTTTATTCAGGTATACACAAATAGTTACATAGATTATCATACATAGTAGCATATGTGTAGAGAACCTTGGATAACCCAGTAGGTATTGGATTAAGTAAGGCCATGGTTATTTGCTGTCTGTAGGATGGTAGGTTAGTCAGACTTCAGTCCTGGAGGTTGGAAGGACAGTGCTTGTACTCTGAAGGAGGGTGGGGATGTTGCAGTCAGAATGTAATCTGAATTGTAATGTCATCACACTTCTGTCAGGACAGCAATTGAATAAAAGATGGTTAATGTGTTTTTTTTCTTGACCCAGGGTTGAGGTTAAAGAAGAATGGAAATATATTGAATTAGAAGATAGGCTTGATAACTCATACTTTGTGTATTTTATACAGTACAGGTTGGCCATCACTAATCCGGCATCATTGGGACATGTAATGGTAATGTGCCAGATTAGCGAGTTTGCCAGATTACAGAGTAGTTAGGTTAGAATACACTTAATTAACCTATCAATAGAGACACTTTCTGCTACATCTTCCTCATTTTCATCACTGCTTTCTCCTCCACTGGCTTGCTGCTGTGGATTTACAACCATCTGCACAATTTCTGAGTCAGTATAATGATTTGAGGCAGTACAATGATGAAATTTGAAATTATGCTATCCAAAATTAGTGCCGGATTAGTGATGGTCAACCTGTAATTAATAATGCAGGGATGGACATCCTTATCAATCCACAACCTACATCTAATGTATTTTCTCACAGGTTCCTTATACTTAAGCTGTAATTTGCTATGTTTTTTTATTCAAGCATACACAAAAAGGTATACTTGGGAAGTCTCTTGAGTGTCCATTAATCAGAATAATGTTAAAAAAAAAAAATTGGAGAAAGCACATAAGTATTCTTCTGCATCTTTAATGTAATACTGTACACAGTTTATTTATATATTGCAATAAATATTGAAAATGAATAAGTTGAAAGTACAGTTTATCCAGTAAGTTTTGCCTTATTTCAGAAGGCCTTTATATCTGAGGTTTACTGTATAGTATTTTGAAAATTTTTAAACCGAAACAATAAAAATATTGATAGATATTACGTTATATAATTTAGTGGTGTAGTCTGCATAAAGTGAGAGTGTCAAACAGCATCAACCTTTTACTCAGAGATAACACTTGTTATTTAATTGACAAGTTAGAGAAAAGATAGTGATCTTACTCGAATATTGTCCTTATTTTAATTAAAAGGAAAATTTCATATTTGCCTAGTTATTTGTCAGGTAAATTAGTATTTATGGTAGTAGGTTGGTAGACAGCAACCACCCAGGGAGGTACTACCGTCCTGCCAAGTGAGTGTAAAACGAAGCCTGTGATTGTTTTACATGATGGTAGGATTGCTGATGTCTTTTGTCTGTCTCATAAATATGCAAGATTACAGGCATGTCTTGCTACTTCTACTTACACTTAGGTCACACTACACATACATGTACACATTTATTTATACACACTCATCTGAGTTTTCTTTGATTTTATCTTAATAGTTCTTGGTCTTATTAATTTTCCTTTTATATCCATGGGAAGTGGAATAAGAATCTTTCCTCCGTAAGCCATGCGTGTTGTAAAAGTCAACTAAAATGCCGGGAACAATGGGCTAGAAACCCCCTTTTTCCCTGTAAAGATTACTAAAAAGAATAAGAAGAAGAAAATTGTCAAAGTGGGAAGTCTGAATGTGCGTGGATGTTGTGCAGATGATAAGAAAGAGATGATTGTGGATGTTATAATGAGAAAAAGCTGGATGTCCGGCTTAAGTGAAACAAAGCTGAAGGGGGTGGGAGAGTTTCAGTGGAGAGGAATAAATGGGATTGGGTCGGGGGTTTTCAAATAGATTTAGAGCTAAAGAAGGAGTAGCAATAATGTTGAAGGATAAGCTATGGCAGGAAAAGGGGGACTATAAATGTATTAATTCAAGGATTATGTGGAGTAAAAAAAAGATTGGATGTGAAAAGTGGGTTATAATAAGCGTGTATGCACCTGGAAAGAGAGAAGTGTAGAGGAAGAGAGAGATTTTGGAAATGTTGAGTGAATGCGTGGGGAGTTTTGAATAAAGTGTGAGAGTAATGGTGTTGGGGGATTTAATGCTAAAGGGGGTAAAATGTTATTGGAGGGAGTAGTGGGTAAATTTGGGGTGCCAGGGGTAAATGTAAAGGGGGAGCCTTTAATTGAGCTATGTGTAGAAAGAAATTTGGTAATAAGTAATACATATTTTATGAAAAAAGGATAAATAAATAAAACAAGGTATGATGAGCACGTAATGAAAGTAGTTTATTAGATTTTGTATTGGTGGATAAAGGGTTTATGGGTAGGCTCCAGGATGTACAAAGTTTTATAGAGGGGCAACTGATATATCGGATCATATTTAGTTGTAGCTACAGTTAGAGTAAAAGGTAATGGGAAAAGAGGAAGGTGGCAACAACAAGTAAGAGGGAGGTGAAAGTGTATAAACTAAGGGAGGAGGAAGTTCGGGTGAGATATAAGCGACTATTGGGAGAAAGGTGGCTAGTGCAAAGATGAGTAGTGGGGGTTTTAAGAGGGTTGGAATAGTTTTAAAATGCAGTATTAGAATGTGGGGCAGAAGTTTGTGGTTATAGGAGGGTGGGGGCAGGAGGAAAGAGGAGTGATTGGTGGAATGATGAAGTAAAGGGTGTGATAAAAGAGAAAAAGGTAGCTTATGAAGGTTTTTTTCAAAGCAGAATGTTTTTAAGAAGAGCAGAGTATATGGAGAGTAAAAGAAAGGTAAGAGAGTGGTGGGGAGAGTGCAAAGGAAGCAGATGATAGGTGGAGAGGCACTGTCAAGAAATTTTAATGAAAAAAGAAAAAATTTTGGAGTGAGTTAAACAAGTTAAGAAAGCCTAGGAAAATATGGATTTGTCAGTTAAAACAGAGTAGGGGATTAGTAGATGGGGAGATGGGGGTATTGGGTAGATGGGGAGAATATTTTGAGGAACTTTTTAAATGTTAAGGAAGAAACAGAGGGAGTAATTTTATGCACTGGTCAGGGAGGTATAAACCCTCTTTTAGGAGTGAAGAAGAGCAGAAGTAAGTGTGGGGGGTACGTGAGGCATTACGTAAAATGAAAGGGGTAAAGCAGCTGGAACTGAGGGATCATGACAGAAATGTAAAAGCAGGGGGGATATAGTGTTGGAGTGGTTGGTACTTTTTGTTTAATAAATGTATGAAAGAGGGGAAGGTACCTAGGGATTGGCAGAGAGCATGATAGTCCCTTTTTTATAAAGGGAAAGGGACAAAAGAGACTGTAAAAAAATTTTAGAGGAATAAGCTTACTGATATACCAGGAAAAGTGTACGGTAGGGTTATAAATTGAAAGAATTTGAGGTAAGACAGAATGTAGGATTGCGGAGAGCAAGGAGGTTTTAGAGTGGGTAGGGAAAGTGTAATCAGGTGTTTACATTGAAGCATATATGTGAACAGTATTTAGATAAAAATGGGAAGTTTTTATTGCATTTATGGATTTAGAAAAAAGGGATATGATAGAGTGGGTAGAGGAGCAATGTGGCAGATGTTGCAAGTATAAGGAATAGGTGGTAATTATTAAATGCTGTAAAGAGTTTTATGAGGATAGTGAGGCTCAGGTTAGGGTGTGTAGAAGAGAGGGAGACTACTTCCCGGGAAAAGTAGGTCTTAGACAGGGATGTGTAATGTCACCATGGTTGTTTAATATATTTATAGATGGGGTTGTAAAGGAAGTAAATGCTAGGTGTTTGGGAGAGGGGTGGGATTAAATTATGGGGAATCAAATTCAAAATGGGAATTGACACAGTTACTTTTTGTGATGATACTGTGCTTAAAGTGAGATTCTAAAGAAAAATTGCAAAGGTTAGTGGATGAGTTTGGGGAAAGTGTGTAAAGGTAGAAAGTTGAAAGTGAACAAAGAAAAGAGTAAGGGGATGAGGGTGTCAAATGATTTAGATAAAGAAAAATTGGGTATCAAATTGGGGGAGGGAGTATGGAAGAAGTGAATGTTTTCAGATACTTGGGAGTTGACGGTCGGCGGATGGATTTATGAAGGATGAGGTTAATCATAAATTGATGAGGGAAAAAAGGTGAGTGGTGCGTTGAGGTATATGTGGAGTCAAAAAACGTTATCTAGGGGGGCAAAGAAGGGAATGTATGAAAATATAGTAGACCAACACTCTTATATGGGTGTGAAGCTTGGGTGGTAAATGCAGCAGCGAGGAACGGTTGGAGGCAGCGGGGATGTCCTGTTTAAGGGCAATGTGTGGTGTAAATATTATGCAGAAAATTTGGAGTGTGGAAATTAGGAGAAGGTGTGGAGTTAATAAAAGTAAATTTGTCAAGGGCAGAAGAGGGTTGTTTGGGGGTGGTTTTGGTCATTTAGAGAGAATGGATCACAGTTTAAAAGACATGGAAAGCATATAAATCTATAGGGGAAGGAAGGCGGGGTAGGGGTCGTCCTCGAAAGGGTTTTGGAAAAGGAGGGGGTAAAGGAGGTTTTGTGGGTAAGGGGCTTGGACTTCCAGCAAGCGTGCATGAGGGTTAGATAAGTGAATGGAGACGAATGGTCTTGGGACCTGCGATCTGTTGGGTGTGACGGGGTAATTTTATAAAGGGGATTCGGGAAACCGGTTATTTTCATTAGTGGATTTGAGCCGGGAAAAGGGGAATACAATGCCTCATTTTAAAGGAGGGTTTGGGATATTGGCATTTGGGAGGGATATTTGTTATTTTAATTTTATGCTTCAGCTTTTGTTTCTAGCACCTCTAAAAACAGTGATAAGTGCGAGTTGGTGAAATGTTGTGATGATGAAATATTTTCTTTTTGGGGATTTTTTTTCTTTTTTGGGGTCACCCTGCCCGGGTGGGAGACGGCCGACTTGTTGAAAAAAAAAAAAAAAAAAAAAAAAAATTAGATTGATTCTGTATTTGTTTTCCTTGTTATTTATTATTGCTGGTTACTCTCCACCTACATACCCATTAACTGAAAAAATTCGGGTATGTAAACAATTAGCGATTTTCTTCACATGCTATAAAAGTTCGGGATAAACTGAATAATACAGAATGTTTTTTATTAAGTGGGTTTAGGGCAGCAGAACGCAGGGAAACTATTATTTTTTCTTTGTAACATTGTACGTGGACCCTGACAACGATATATTTCATTTAGACGTCTGTTCGGCGCGTTACGACCGAATTTTTTCCCATAAGAATATTGTAAATGATTGTCCGTTTTTAACCCCCCAAAAATTCACGTACAAAGCACTTCAAAAATACACTTATAAACTGGTCGAGTTTTGGGACTGATCGTTAGCCGAGGGTCCACTGTATGTGTTTTGTAGCATACAGATTTAACATTGTTTTGTAGCATACAGATTTAAGATTATTTCAGACTTGCCTCTTAATTATTTTTACCAGACTTTTTAGAAAATGGTGCTAAATGGGGACCCATAAAAATTTTACACTTCTGTTTACTACTGGATTTTCAATATTTCAGGTTGATTATGAAAATGAACGCTGTTTGATCCAGTTTGAGGACAGTACAGCTCATTGGTCCTTGTATAAAGATATCACCAAGCTAAAGCTGCCTGAATCAGATGACCTGTGTGTTATCTGCAAGTCTTCCAAGAGCTGGGATACGAATGAAATTGTTTTATGTTATATTTGTGAGCAGGGTTACCATCAGGATTGCCTCCAGGTATGACCTTCATTCTCCATTGTTTTTATAAAGAAGGCTTTTTAATACATGAATACATAGTGGACATAAATATTTAGTCAAAATTTTAAGCTATTAATTTTCAGGCAGTATAGACATTGCTGTGTAAGCCACATCTCCTGTTAAGACTTTTTTCTTATAGTATTTTCTAAGCGAGAGTTGATCAGTTTTCCCACACATGTCAGAGTTGGCTTGCCATTATTTATCCACACCAGACTGTGAGGTATGAAAGGCGTAATTTAGTTGGGCAGAAAAGGCTTGCTGAAATATTTTGGTTACCTAGTAAGGATGGAGCAGAATAGGTTGACCAAGAGAGATTACTGTAAAAATCCAGAGTGGATGGAAGGATGAGTTGGAGCAAAGGGGTAAAGGAGGTTTTTAGTGATAAGAGCTTTAGCATTGAGCAGCAAGTGCAGCAGAAGACTGGTCAGGCATGAATGCTAATGTGTGAAGAACCCTGGTGCCTTTTTTTTTGTTATTTAGCCTGCAAGGGCCTTGCTGCGAAGTTCATCTATCCAGGATGTAATGAAAGGTCTAGTAAAGATTGATGAAGGTGATTGACCTGAGCTAAATTAGAGGAATCAATCCTAGCAGTGAATTACACCTTGAATCTTCAGGGTCATGTACAGGTATAGTGTCTTTAACCCCTTGACTGTCGCAACCCCCAATCCTGAGGTGTCTCCTGGTGTCACAAAGTTTCAAAAAAAAAAAAAAAAATCTTATGAAATGATAGAGAATCTTTTCCCGATTGTAATGATACCAAAAATATGAAATTTGATGTAAAACTGACGAAATTACGCTCTCGCGAAGTTAGCGACCTCGGCGATATTTACAAACAGGCGATTTCGCCCACTTTGAGCCCTATTTTCAGCTAATTCCATTGTTCCAGTCGACCAAACTCGTAGCTATTTCTTTAGAACTCCGTTTTTTCTATCGATTGAGTACAAGAAACTGCCCATTTACCGATTTCAACTACCCAATAATGTGGTCAGAAATTTGCAATTTGACCAATTTCATGAAAATTAAAAAATATGACAATTTCAAAATAAGGTCCAGAATGAACAATACAAACATTCCTGGCTTTAAAATAACATTTTCTTTGTTCATCAGTCATGTTTCCAGGCCCCTCTGATATTACTCTTGCTTTCTATTTTGAATTTTTATTCAAACAAAAAATGGAAGATTTACTGTTATGCAGACTACTGCAATACTGTAATAATTGTATAAATAATGTCAACCCATTCATGACTGCATATTAGAATGGCTAGTTGGACATTTATTGGACAATGACATCATTTGTTTACTTTTGAACATCGGCAAAAATCAAACATTTCCCCTACTTTGAGCTCCATTTCCAGGTTCTTTTTATAGTAAAACCAATCAAAATCACCTCTATTTCTATAATATGTTCTCCATTCTATCAAATGAGACCAAGAAAACGAGAATACAACCATAAATACTATACGAAAATAGATAACAAAGTCGGCATTTTAATTAAAAAAACAGTCGGAGCTTTTTTTTCTCATTATGCACTGCGTGCTCCAGGATTTTTTTTATATGGTGCACACTGACCACACAGACCAATTCTCTCACATGTGGGCCTACCAGCTTTCTCCTGCTTGATTTGAAGCCGCTAGAATTTGAGTATATATACGTCAAGCACGGTACCTCGTAAGACGTATATATATGACCGAAACAGTCAAAGGGTTAAGATACAAAGACAACTAAAATTTTCCATGCTGCCTTACAAGGAAATGCTGAAAAAAGCCTTGAAAGCATGTTGATGCATGTTGCATCACCCCTGCAAATGAGATTCATTACAATGGTAGTCAACAGGTAAACAAGGCTGGCTAGCTGGTGGCATGGGAGAGAGTTTGGTCTGACATAAGAGTGGCATAGAAAATTAACCTACCTTTGGTATAATGTGGGGCTTCACAGTCATATTGTTGAGCCTTCCACTTGCAGTAGGTGACGGTGATGAACTCTCAGGTATTATGTGACCACCCCAGGGAAGGAGAATATGGGTTAGTAAGGTGAAATGTTTTAGCTGTTTCCTGAGGTCTTATTTGAATTACACTTAGCACATATGAACTTTGGGGAATGCAGAGGAGGAATATAGACATCAGACAGCCTTAAGACCTACCTGGTAGGTGACTAGTCACTAGTTGATTATACTGACTAGTGCTGTTTTAGTTGTGTGATGTCAGATTAGGGTCTGGGAAAAATTGAGACCCCTGCACTGTTGGGTCCCTAGAGTACATTAAATTGAAGAGAACTGGGGATTATTAAGAAAGGAAACAACAGAAACCAGTGCTCTGTATTTGAGTGCCAAAAACTCCAAAGAAAAAGAGGTGGGTTTCACTTAATGACCTGAGTAAAATTCTCTAAATGACTCCCTGAAAAATGTCCTTCTCACAAAGCACTTTAAAAAAGCCTTTCCTGTAAGGTAATTTTCCTTTTAATGGGGGAAGCACATGTGATGGTTTGTCTGGCTGTCAACAAACATTATGAACCAAACGAAATAATGGCATGTATTTTCATGAGTCCTCTGATAGAATAAAATAACAGAAATCCTGGGGTGTAGAGGAACCTAGTAATCCACTGTAGAAAGTTGATGCAACTGTATCTTGCTTGTAACTAGTGAGTTGTAGAGCTTGCTGCTGGAGGCCTCTAGTCACACCTTGTAAACATCAATGGGCAAAACAACGATACCTGAGGCTAATACTCAGTGGAATAGTAAGTGATAGTCTCAACTGGCCAAAAGAACTGAAAATTGTCACAAGTTTGTTCTTGTATACTCTTCTACCTCTCCATGGTGAAGCAGAAAAGAATCTTACTTTTGTAAGCCATGTGTGGTATAAGAAGCGACTAAAATGCCAGGAACAAAGGGTCAGTAACCCCTTCTCTTGTATAAATTACAGTGGACCCCCGCTTAACGATCACCTCCAAATGCGACCAATTATGTAAGTGTATTTATGTAAGTGCGTTTGTACGTGTATGTTTGGGGGTCTGAAATGGACTAATCTACTTCACAATATTCCTTATGGGAAAAAATTCGGTCAGTACTGGCACCTGAACATACTACTGGAATGAAAAAAGTTCGTTAACCGGGGGTCCACTGTACTAAATTTTTTTTTTTTTATTAACACACTAGCCGATTCCCACCAAGGCACGGTGGCCCGAAAAAGAACACCTTTCACCATCATTCATTCCATCACTGTCTTGCCAGAAAACAGTTTTTAAACTGTAACATTAACACCCCTCCTTTAGAGTGCAGACACTACTTTCCATCTCCAGGACTCAAGTCCGGCCTGCCGGTTTCCCTGAATCCCTTTATAAATGTTACTTTGCTCACACTCCAACAGCACGTCAAGTATTAAAAACCATTTGTCTCCATTCACTCCTATCAAACACGCTCATGCATGCCTGCTGTAAGTCCAAGCCCCTCGCACACAAAACCACCTTTACCCGCTCCCTCCAACCTTTCCTAGGCCGACCCCTACCCCGCCTTCCTTCCACTACAGACTTACACACTCTTGAAGTCATTCTGTTTTGCTCCATTCTCTCTACATGTCCAAACCACCTCAACAACCCTTCCTCAGCCCTCTGGACAACAGTTTTGGTAATCTCGCACCTCCTCCTAACTTCCAAACTACGAATTCTCTGCATTATATTCACACCACACATTGCCCTAAATTTATTTATTTTATTATCACACCGGCCGATTCCCACCAAGGCAGGGTGGCCCGAAAAAGAAAAACTTTCACCATCATTCACTCCATCACTGTCTTGCCAGAAGGGTGCTTTACACTACAGTTTTTAAACTGCAACATTAACACCCCTCCTTCAGAGTGCAGGCACTGTACTTCCCATCTCCAGGACTCAAGTCCGGCCTGCCGGTTTCCCTGAATCCCTTCATAAATGTTACTTTGCTCACACTCCAACAGCACGTCAAGTATTAAAAACCATTTGTCTCCATTCACTCCTATCAAACACGCTCACGCATGCCTGCTGGAAGTCCAAGCCCCTCGCACACAAAACCTCCTTTACCCCCTCCCTCCAACCCTTCCTAGGCCGACCCCTACCCCGCCTTCCTTCCACTACAGACTGATACACTCTTGAAGTCATTCTGTTTCGCTCCATTCTCTCTACATGTCCGAACCACCTCAACAACCCTTCCTCAGCCCTCTGGACAACAGTTTTGGTAATCCCGCACCTCCTCCTAACTTCCAAACTACGAATTCTCTGCATTATATTCACACCACACATTGCCCTCAGACATGACATCTCCACTGCCTCCAGCCTTCTCCTCGCTGCAACATTCATCACCCACGCTTCACACCCATATAAGAGCGTTGGTAAAACTATACTCTCATACATTCCCCTCTTTGCCTCCAAGGACAAAGTTCTTTGTCTCCACAGACTCCTAAGTGCACCACTCACTCTTTTTCCCTCATCAATTCTATGATTCACCTCATCTTTCATAGACCCATCCGCTGACACGTCCACTCCCAAATATCTGAATACGTTCACCTCCTCCATACTCTCTCCCTCCAATCTGATATTCAATCTTTCATCACCTAATCTTTTTGTTATCCTCATAACCTTACTCTTTCCTGTATTCACCTTTAATTTTCTTCTTTTGCACACCCTACCAAATTCATCCACCAATCTCTGCAACTTCTCTTCAGAATCTCCCAAGAGCACAGTGTCATCAGCAAAGAGCAGCTGTGACAACTCCCACTTTGTGTGTGATTCTTTATCTTTTAACTCCACGCCTCTTGCCAAGACCCTCGCATTTACTTCTCTTACAACCCCATCTATAAATATATTAAACAACCACGGTGACATCACACATCCTTGTCTAAGGCCTACTTTTACTGGGAAAAAATTTCCCTCTTTCCTACATACTCTAACTTGAGCCTCACTATCCTCGTAAAAACTCTTCACTGCTTTCAGTAACCTACCTCCTACACCATACACTTGCAACATCTGCCACATTGCCCCCCTATCCACCCTGTCATACGCCTTTTCCAAATCCATAAATGCCACAAAGACCTCTTTAGCCTTATCTAAATACTGTTCACTTATATGTTTCACTGTAAACACCTGGTCCACACACCCCCTACCTTTCCTAAAGCCTCCTTGTTCATCTGCTATCCTATTCTCCGTCTTACTCTTAATTCTTTCAATTATAACTCTACCATACACTTTACCAGGTACACTCAACAGACTTATCCCCCTATAATTTTTGCACTCTCTTTTATCCCCTTTGCCTTTATACAAAGGAACTATGCATGCTCTCTGCCAATCCCTAGGTACCTTACCCTCTTCCATACATTTATTAAATAATTGCACCAACCACTCCAAAACTACATCCCCACCTGCTTTTAACATTTCTATCTTTATCCCATCAATCCCGGCTGCCTTACCCCCTTTCATTTTACCTACTGCCTCACGAACTTCCCCCACACTCACAACTGGCTCTTCCTCACTATAAATATAAAATATAAAATATAAAAAGAAAAATGTTAGTTTCTTCAATTTTGGGTCACCCTACCTCGGTGGGAGACAGCTAGTGTGTTGAAAAAAGTACTCTTCTGTCTATTGGTATATTATAAATTCTATCTAAGAATACTGTTATTGTTTATAGATGACTTTTGTAATATTCCCATTTTTATCCATAGCCTAGAATAGGTAAAGAGTACTGTGAACCAGACAGCCAGTGGGAGTGTCCAAGGTGTGCTGGACATTCAGCCATGGAGAAAGAAGAGCGGAAAAAATCCCGGGAGAGCTCTCCACGGAAGCAACGTACGCGACCTCAGCATCAACATCAATCTGAAGAAAATAATAAACTAGTCCTGCCTTATGATGTTAGTATATGTATTGTTAATTATTTTGGCTTTTGTATGAAATTTTGTTGTTGATGTAAGAATGTAGGTTATTTATGAATTGATATTTTCAGAAATACTAAATAGTTTTTAACTTTGCTATAGTATATCTCATATGGTAATATAGGAGTGGCAAATACAAGTAAATATTATTAAAGGAAGATTGTTTCTATTGTGTCATTATGGAAACAATACAGAAACCCCAGATAGGGCTTATACACTTAGCAAAAAGACATTTGGGACTAAGAAAAACTATAAATAACGAAGAATGCATGCAACAGTTCAGCCATTTTCCAGTACTGCCTTCCATGATGCACCACAAGAACCAGGATTTTTTCTTCAGAGATGATGAAGTTGCACATCATCCCAGAAGTTGTTTAAGTCCTAATATTGAAATTAATACTAATTTTGTAAGCAAGGTAACATTTATGAAGGGATTCAGGGTAACTTAGTTGATGTAATATTTTATGTTATTTTGAATTCATTACTTATTCTGTGCTGTAAGAGTGGTGGTCAGGATCTTAGCTCTCTACCAAAATCAACCATGCCATCATGTGTTCATTCTGTCACATGCGTATAATAGAGGTTGTACTGTAGTAACGACTCATGAAATCATACTGACACGATTGTAAACAAACCATACCATGGGTGGGGCTTGAACCCGTGGTCAGAGTCGTAAAATGCCAGACCAACGTGTTATCCATTGGGCCAGCCCAGCGAGTAACATGTCGGTCTGGAGTTTTATGACTCTGACTGTGGATTCAAGCCCCACCCGTGGTATGGTTTGTACTGTAGTAATTTTTTTTTTTTAACAAGTCGGCCGTCTCCCATCGAGGCAGGGTGACCCAAAAAAGAAAGAAAATCCTCAAAAAGAAAATACTTTCATCATTATTCAACATTTTCACCTCACTCACACATAATCACTGTTTTTGCAGAGGTGCTCAGAACACAACAGCTTAGAAGCATATACCTATAAAGATACACAAACATATCCCTCCAAACTGCTAATATCCCGAACCCCTCCTTTAGAGTGCAGGCATTGTACTTCCCATTTCCAGGACTCAAGTCCAGCTATATAAAAATAACCGGTTTCCCTGAATCCCTTCACTAAATATTACCCTGCTCACACTCCAACAGATCGTCAGGTCCCAAATACCATTCGTCTCCATTCACTCCTATCTAACATGCTCACACACGCTGGAAGTCCAAGCCTCTTGCCCACAAAACCTCCTTTACCCCCTCCCTCCAACCTTTTCGAGGACGACCCCTACCCTGCCTTCCTTCCCGTACAGATTTATACGCTCTCCGTGTCATTCTACTTTGATCCATTCTCTCTAAATGACCAAACCACCTCAACAACCCCTCTTCAGCCCTCTGACTAATACTTTTATTAACTCCACACCTCCTAATTTCCACACACTGAATTTTCTGCATAATATTTACACCACGCATTGCCCTTAGACAGGACATCTCCACTGCCTCCAACCGCCTCCTCGCTGCTGCATTCACAACCCAAGCTTCAAACCCATATAAGTGTGTTGGTACTGCTATACTTTCATACATTCCCTTCTTTGCCTCCATAGATAACATTTTTTGTCTCCACATATACCTCAATGCACCACTCACCTTTTTTCCCTCATCATTTCTGTGATTAACCTCATCCTTTATAAATCCATCCGCCGACACGTCAACTCCCAAGTATCTGAAAACATTCACTTCTTCCATACTCCTCCCCAATTTGATATCCAATTTTTCTTTATCTAAATCATTTGATACCCTCATCACCTTGCTCTTTTCTATGTTCACTTTCAACTTTCTACCTTTACACACACTCCCAAACTCATCCACTAACCTTTGCAATTTTTCTTTAGAATCTCCCATGAACACAGTATCATCAGCAAAAAGCAACTGTGTCAATTCCCATTTTGTATTTGATTCCCCATAATTTAATCCCACCCCTCTCCCGAACACCCTAGCAACCCCATCTATAAATATATTAAACAACCATGGTGACATTACACATCCCTGTCTAAGACCTACTTTTACTGGGAAGTAGTCTCTTTCTCCTCTACACACCCTAACCTGAGCCTCACTATCCTCATAAAAACTCTTTACAGCATTTAGTAACTTTCCACCTATTCCATATACTTGCAACATCTACCACATTGCTCCCCTATCCACTATCATATTCCTTTTATAAATCCATAAATGCAATAAAAACTTCCCTACCTTTATCTAAATACTGTTCACATATATGCCTCAATGTAAACACTTGATCTACACGTCCCCTACTCACTCTGAAACCTCCTTGCTCATCCGCAGGCCTACATTCTGTCTTGCCTCTAATTCTTACAATTATAACCCTACCGTACACTTTTCCTGGTATACTCAGTAAACTTATTCCTCTATAATTTTTAAAATCTCTTTTGTCCCCTTCCCTTTATATAAAGGGACTATACATGCTCTCTGCCAATCCCTAGGTACCTTCCCTTTCATACATTTATTAAACAAAAATACCAACCACTCCAACACTATATCGCCCCCTGCTTTTGACATTTCTGTCATGATCCCGTCAGTTCCAGCTGCTTTACCCCCTTTCATTCTACGTAATGTCTCGCGTACCTCTCCCACACTCACATCCTATTCTTCACTCCTAAAACATATATACCTCCCTGGCCAGTGCATGAAATTACCGCTTCCCTTTCTTCGTCAACATTTAAAATTTTTTTTTTATTTTATTATCACACTGGCCGATTCCCACCAAGGCAGGGTGGCCCGAAAAAGAAAAACTTTCACCATCATTCACTCCATCACTGTCTTGCCAGAAGGGTGCTTTACACTACAGTTTTTAAACTGCAACATTAACACCCCTCCTTCAGAGTGCAGGCACTGTACTTCCCATCTCCAGGACTCAAGTCCGGCCTGCCGGTTTCCCTGAATCCCTTCATAAATGTTACTTTGCTCACACTCCAACAGCACGTCAAGTATTAAAAACCATGTCTCCATTCACTCCTATCAAACACGGTCACGCATGCCTGCTGGAAGTCCAAGCCCCTCGCACACAAAACCTCCTTTACCCCCTCCCTCCAACCTTTCCTAGGCCGACCCCTACCCCGCCTTCCTTCCAGTACAGACTGATACACTCTTGAAGTCATTCTGTTTCGCTCCATTCCATTTAAAATATCCTCAAAATATTCTCGCCATCTACCCAAAACCTCCATCTTCCCATCTACTAACTCTCCTACTCTGTTTTTAACTGACAAATCCATTCTTTCTCTAGGCTTTCTTAACTTGTTTAACTCACTCCAAAATTTTTTCTTATTTTCATTAAAATTTCTTGACAGTGCCTCTCCCACTCTATCATCTGCTCTCCTTTTGCACTCTCACCACTCTCTTCACCTTTCTTTTACTCTCCATATACTCTACTCTTCTTATAACACTTCTGCTTTGTAAAAACCTCTCATAAGCTAACTTTTTCTCTTTTATCATACCCTTTACTTCATCATTCCACCAATAACTCCTCATTCCTCCTGCATCCACTCTCCTATAACCACAAACTTCTGCCCCACATTCTAATACTGCATTTTTAAAACTATTCCAACCCTCTTCAACCCCCACACTACTCATCTTTGCACTAGCCCACCTTTCTGCCAATAGTCGCTTATATCTCACCCAAACTTCCTCCTCCCTTAGATTATACACTTTCACCTCCCTCTTGCTTGTTGTTGCCATTTTCCTATTTTCCTATCTACCTATTACTGTAACTGTAGCTACAACTAAATAATGATCCGATGTATCAGTTGCCCCTCTATAAACGTGTACATCCTGGAGCCTACCCATCAACCTTTTATCCACCAATACATAATCTAACAAACTACTTTCATTATGTGCTGTATCATACCTTGTATATTTATTTATCCTCTTCATAAAATATGTATTACTTATTACCAAACCTCTTTCTACACGTAGCTCAATTAAAGGCTCCCCATTTTCATTTACCCCTGGCACCCCAAATTTACCTACTACTACCTCCACAACATTTTTGCCCGTTTTTGCATTGAAATCCTCAACCACCATTACTCTCACACTTGATTCAAAACTCCCCATACATTCACTCAACATTTCTCAAAATCTCTCTCTCTCCTCTACACTTCTCTCTTCTCCAGGTGCATATATGCTTACTATAACCCACTTTTCACATCCAACCTTAATTTTACTCCACATAGTCCTTGAATTAGTACATTTGTAGTTCCTCTTTTCCTGCCATAACTTATCCTTCAACATTATTGGTACTCCTCCTTTATCTCTAACTCTATTTGAAACCCCTGACCTAATCCCATTTATTCCTCTCCACTGAAACTCTCTCACCCCCTTCAGCTTTGTTTCACTTAAAGCCAGGACATCCAGCTTCTTCTCATTCATAACATCCACAATCATCTCTTTCTTATTTGCACAACATCCACGCACATTCAGACTTCCCACTTTAACAATTTTCTTCTTATTCTTTTTAGTAATTATTACAGGCATTTTAGTTGACTTTTACAACATGCATGGCTTACGGAGGAAAGATTCTTATTCCACTTCCTCATGGATATAAAAGGAAAAGTAATAAGACCAAGGACTATTAAGATAAAATCAAAGAAAACTCAGATGAATGTGTATAAATAAACATGTACATGTATGTGTAGTGTGACCTAAGTGTAAGTAGAAGTAGCAAGACGTACCTGTAATTTTGCATATTTATGAGACAGACAAAAGACACCAGCAATCCTACCATCGTGTAAAACAATTACAAGCTTTTGCTTCACACTCACTTGGCAGGACAGTAGTACCCCCCTGGGTGGTTGTCTACCAGCCTACTACCACAGGATGGTAGTACCTCCCTGGGTGGTTGCTGTCTACCAACCTACTACCACAGGATGGTAGTACCTCCCTGGGTGGTTGCTGTCTACCAACCTACTACCACAGGATGGTAGTACCTCCCTGGGTGGTTGCTGTCTACCAACCTACTACCACAGGACGGTAGTACCTCCCTGGGTGGTTGCTGTCTGCCAACCTACTACCACAGGACGGTAGTACCTCCCTGGGTGGTTGCTGTCTACCAACCTACTACCACAGGACGGTAGTACCTCCCTGGGTGGTTGCTGTCTACCAACCTACTACCACAGGACAGTAGTACCTCCCTGGGTGGTTGTTGTCTACCTACTACCACAGGATGGTAGTACCTCCCTGGGTGGTTGCTGTCTACCAACCTACTACCACAGGACGGTAGTACCTCCCTGGGTGGTTGCTGTCTACCAACCTACTACCTATAACTGTAGTATTAAATAAAAACATATTAAAGCTTATAAATGACAATAATAATTATAATAGCTAGAATTACCTTTACTTTCAGATCAACTGCTTAACATGGGACCAAGGTCACAAGAGCAACAGAGAGCAAACTTACTGCTATTGTGGTGGACCTGGAGAATGGTACAATCGCATGCTCCAGTGTCAGCGGTGTAAACAGTGGTTTCATGAAGCTTGTGTAGACTGTTTACACTACCCACTTTTATATGGTGATAGGTATTGCAGTGTTTTTGTGTTTTGGAATAGAAGTGTTACTTATATTGGAGAGAAAGTGATTGATTTATTAGATGAAGTTATATTAGCAATTCTTAGGTTTATTATACAATGGAACCTCCATAAAATAGACTGATAGGATGGAGGGTGTGTTTGATTTAGCAAAAATCTGTTTTATGGAAGTGATTGAGGCAGAGGGCTATCTTTATTGCACCAGTGGACCACTGGATGTGGACAGACTTCCTATGTAGCAGACTTAGTCATCTGCATTGATGGTATGCCTGACATATTAAGAACACACTACAGTATTACAATTCTGTACAGTAAGTTACAGTGCATTGTCTAAAAGTAAGACTTGAAAGTACAGTACAGTAGAGCACAGTAATTGTTCTTACCTTTACTGGCGGGTAGATGAGCTAACATAGTCTCGTAGCTGGATTGCCAACACACTCAGCTCACACATTGAGTTTCCTGGTTTGATCCCTGTTATAGGTGGAGATATTAGAACATATTTCCTTAAGGCACCTGCTGTCCCTGTTCACCTATTAGTAAAGCCTGAGTGTTAGCCTAATGGTGTGGGTCACATACTGGGGACAAAACTGACCTAATTTTCTAAACAATCTCTGCTTAACAAGGGGCTGTCTATATACATAGTAGTATATCATTAATGTCAGCTAGGCCTGTATATCTTGTACATGTACTTGTAGAAATAAAGATTGTTCTTCTTTCAACAAACCAGCCATATCCCACCAAGGCAGGGTGACCTAAAAAGAAAAACACGAAAGTTTCTCTTTTTAAAATTAGTGATGTATACAGGAGAATGGGTTACTAGCCCCTTGCTCCTGGCATGTTAGTTGCCCCTTATGATATGCATGGCTAACAGAGGAAGAATTCTGTTCCACTTCCCCATGGAGATAGAAGGAAATAAACAAGAACTAGTAAGAAAATAGAAGAAAACCCAGAGGGGTGTGTATGTATATGCTTGTACCCTGCCTCGGTGGGAAATGGCTGACGTGTTAAAAAAAATGCACGTGTAGTGTGACTTAAGTGTAAGTAGAAGTAGCAAGATGTACCTGAAATCTTGCTTCTTTATGAGACAAAAAAGGACACAGCATTCCTACCATCATGTAAAACAATTACGTACAGGCTTCCGTTTTACACTTGCTTGGCAGGACGGTAGTACCTCCCTGGGTGGTTGCTGTCTATCAACCTACTCCCTACAATAAATTTATTATTATAACAGTTGGATTACCCTGTTGTCCAGTGTTCATTCAGAATAATTTTGATTAGGAATGAGAGGAGCTGTAAAGCTGCAACAGTAACACTGCAGTTGATGGGGAAGACACATATAGATGGTGCAGAAGCTGTAATGGGTTTGAGAGATGTAGATGGTTCAGCAGATATAAATGGTCGAGATGTAGATGTGGTACCAGCCTCTCTGTGGTCCAAGTCGGACTGAAACATCGGCTTAACTTTCATTCTCCTATTACCTGGAGTTTACCTGGAGAGAGTTCCGGGGGTCAACGCCCCCACAGCCAAGTCTGTGACCAGGCCTCCTATGTACGGGTTATTTGTGTATAAGCCAGAATATTTACAGAATCACCAAAGCTAACACTTACTCATCTCAAACTATATTTGTGTGGCTTGATTGCTTATCAGTAGAGTGAAGCTTGGCAAACAAATGTTAACACCAGCATAACTATTGAACATACCACTGTATCTTGGGCCATTTTCATACATCTTGTATCTTGGGCCATTTCCATACACCTTGTATCTTGTGCCATTTTTATACACTTCTTAGGATTAACTGCAGAACCTTTTTTGGCCAGTCTGTACACTGCTACATAGCATATGCTATAAATATGGAGTGATTGGTACTTTTGTTTGGTAAATGTATGAAAGAGGAGACAGTACCTAGAGATTGGCAGAGAGCATGCAGTGTTCCTTTATATAAAGAAACTGGAACTAAGAAAAGACTAAAAAAATTATAGGGTAGAGTTGTTATTAAAAGAAATTAGGGTAAGACAGAGAGCAGGATTACAGATGAACATGGAGGTTTTAGAAAGGGTGGGGGATATGTAGACTAAGTGTTCACATTGAAGTGTGTAAGTGAACAATATTTAGATAAAGGTAAGAAAGTTTTTGTTGCTTTCATGGGTTTAGAAAAGGCATATGACAGGGTGGATATAGGAGTGATGTGGCAGATGATGCAAGTGTATGGAATAGGCAGTATGTTACTGAATACTGTTAAGAGTTTTAATGAGGATAGTGAGGCTTAGGTTAGGTAGGGTATGTAGGAGAGAGGGAGATTATTTTCCAGTAAAAGTAGGCCTTAGGGATGCATGACATGGCCATAGCTGTTGAACAAATTTATATATGGGTTTGTAAAGGAAGTGAATGCTATGGGATGGGTGTAGGATTAAAATGTGTGGAATCTAGTACAGAATGGGAGTTGCTACAGTTGCTTTTTGCTGTTGACAATTTACTTTGGTGAGATTTTGAAGAGAAGTTACAAGTTTTGGTGGATGAATTTGAGAGGGTATATAAAGGAAAGATATTAAAAGTGAACATAGGAAAGAGCAAGGTGATGAGGGTAATATACAAGTTATGTAATGAAAGATTGATTATCAGATTGGAAGGAGGTAGTATAGAGGTAGTGCATGTGTTCAAATATTTGGGAGTGGACTCATTGGTGGATGGGTTTATGAAACACGAGATAAACCATAGATTTTACAAAGGAAAGAAGGTGGGGGTGCAGTGAAGCATCTGTGGAGAGACAGAATGTTATCCATGGAGGTAAAAGAGAATGTATGAGAGTATTGTGGTACCAGCACTTATATAGGTACAAATCACGGGTTGTGAATGTTGAAGCGAGCAGGAGGCAGCTGGAGGCAGTGATGTCATGTCTGAGGGCATTGTGTGGTGTAAACATGTAGAGAGTTTGGAGCTTGGAGGTTAAGTGGTGTGGGGTTACTAAAATTACAGCCTCGCCTCACTTAGTGACGTACTCGTTTGCCGATGACTCAGACTTACGATGGGCTCTCTAACCATTATGCATACGTATTTATAATACCTGATTTCCTCCATTCTGTTTATTTCAGTATACAGTACACTACTGTATAAACATTTAACCCTTTAAGGTTTGGTGCCATACTAGTACGGCTTGCACGCCGGGGTTGGTGCCGTACTAGTACTCATAAATTCTAGCTCCTTCTAATCTAGCGAGAGAAAGCTGGTAGGACTATATATGAAAGAATGGGTCTATGTGGTCAGTGTGCACAGTATAAAAAAAAAAATCCTGCAGCACACAGTGCATTATGAGAAAAAAACTCCGACCGTGTTTTTGGTTTAACCCTTTGACTGTCGCGGCCGTATATATACGTCTTACAAGGTACCGTGTTTGACGTATATATACTCATAAATTCTAGTGGCTTCAAATCAAGAAGGAGAAAGCTGGTAGGCCTACATGTGAGAGAATGGGTGTGTGTGGTCAGTGTGCACCATATAAAAAAAAATCCTAGAGCACGTAGTGCATAATGAGAAAAAAAAACTCCGACCATTTTTTTTTAATTAGAATGCCAACTTTGTGGTCTATTTTCGTATAGTATTTATGGTTGTATTCTCGTTTTCTTGGTCTCTTTTGATAGAATGGAGAACATATTATAGAAATAGAGGTGATTTTGATTTTACTGTAAAAAGAACCTGGAAATGGAGCTCAAATTAGGGGAAATGTTCGATTTTTGCCAATGTTCAAAAGTAAACAAATGATGTCATTGTCCAATAAAAGTCCAACTAGCCATTCTAATATGCAGTCATGAATGGGTTGATATTATTTATACAATTATTACAGTATTGCAGTAGTCTGCATAACAGTAAATCTTCTATTTTTTGTTTGAATAAAAATTCAAAATAGAAAGCAAGAGTAATATCAGAAGGGCCTGGAGACGTGACTGATGAACAAAGAAAATGTTATTTTAGAGCCAGGACTGTCTGCATTGTTCATTCTGGACCTTATTTTGAAATTGTCATATTTTTTAATTTTCATGAAATTGGCCAAATTGCAAATTTCTGACCACATTATTGGGTAGTTGAAATTGGTAAATGGGCAGTTTCTTGTACTTAACCCTTCGTCATGCAAGGGGTCCGAGAATTTGAAATTCGAACTGAACTCCCTATGGTGGATAGAGTAACTCAATACAAGGTCACTGATCCCATATAAATTGATTTCTGATGGTTAGTTTTCGAGCAATTGCTAATCTCCGAAGACCGAAAATATTCGGCTGCGCCCGACAAAGGGATTAAAAAATTTTATGTTGCAAACTTGCAATTGTTAATAAAACACACCAAAACAATTTTTTAAATTTAATATACAAACAGACAATATAAAAAACATAAATGGAACTTGTATCAAAACATTTTTTAATTGTTACAAAAATATAAAAAGGAAGCAAATATCAACAATGCCAAATTGCAAAGTGATGCAAGTTTCAATCCCTATATTCCTGAGATTCATTTGGAAGACCAATGATTCTATATTGCTAAATGGAAAGATGGAAGTCTGAGAAACAATTTCTATCAGTCTTTATGCACAGATTTACTTTGCATACACTACACACGAATGATGATGTTACCGGTTTCTTCGTGTTGCTGCAATACTTGCAAGTAAACGGCCTTTGCCCTGCCATTGGGAAGTACTTTAGACTAAGGTCTTTCCTAACACTGTCATCAGGCATTTCTGTACGTTTTCCCCTCCCAGGTTTCACTATGCCAACACGATTGGAAGTACATGGTGAATTAGTTGGTGAAGGTCTTGGAGTTGTTCTTAGGATGCTGCCTCTAAGGTTTTGTCCTTTAGACCTTGCAATACTCATATGGAGACCTAATTGCAAGAGGCTTTTCATGTTCATATGCCGGCAAAGGATCATTTTGAATGTCATCTACGGTCCACTCAGATGAAACTTGAAGAGCAATATTCTCATGGATCTCTTCCTCATCCGGGTATTCCTCAATCATAAAAGTTTTCTTTTTCCTCATTACTTTCTGCTTTTTGGCTGGCCTTTCTTCCCTTTCTTCCTCCTCATCATCACTTGACATCTCTGCATCCTGTGGCAAGTATTCATCACCACTATCCAGCAATTCTGGTTCGTCTACCTCTGGTTCCGAGTCACTGTCTTCAGAAACGCAGACATACCTCGACCTGCTGGTCGACTGCTCCCCATAAAACAGCCTCTCATGGAACTGGAAGGACAATAGAAACCTCCTGTATAAATCCAGACCACTACAGAGTTCATATATGCAATTGAAAATTTCTTATAAATATTTATTTGACTAAAATTGGACATTCCTGGAAACTCGGGCAAGACCGAAATAATTCGGTCTAAAATGCTTGCACTTTTTTCAACTGCATGCTACACTCATATTATGCTTCTATTCTATTTGATTCGCCGGTAATCCCGGCGCGGGTCTCTTCCATTTTGGTGACCCGGCATAATATTATGCTTCACACGGACTTTAGGTATATATCAAAATATGCCTAAACTATTCATGTAAGCACTAAACACAACAATCAGTACTTACCGACATTGTAGAATGTATAATCCAAGAGTAGATTAGTAAGGGTGGAGGGAAAAATGCGTGTGTGGGTGAAGCCAAGCCACCAGTGTTTATATTTTGATCTCTCAACCAATGGGAAGGCGGCAGAAGCGAACTGTACTTAGCTGAAGAGACTCAGGGAAGGCTTGTGATTGGTTGGAACTAAAGAACTGGAAGCTGGCCGCGCGGGGCACGGAGTATGACACGCGCCAAAAACACGTAATTAAGACCGAATTTTTTCGGCCTCGCTCGACAAGCGACTTTGCAGTGTATTTTTGTATGCTATTTATGGTTGTATTCTAGTTTTCCTGGTTTCATTTTATAGAATGGTAGACGTATTACTTAAATTAAGATGATTTTTATTGGTTTCACAATGAAAAGTACCTTGAAATTGAGCTCAAAGTAGCAGGAATGTTTGATTTTTGCTAAAGTTCAAAAGTAAATAAATCAACCCATGCGTCCAATACACATCAACTGGTGAGTCTAATATTCTTTTACAAGTGCGCTGATATTATTTATAACATTTCTACACCATTTCTACACAAATGCAGTAGTCTGCATGACAGTAAATCTTCTATTTTTTGTGAAAATGAAAATTCAAAGTGGACAACAAAAGAAATGTAACAGAGGCCTGGGGACGTGACTAATGAACAGAGTAGATGTTATTTTAGTGCCAGGAATGTCTGTCTTGTTTATTCTGGATCCTATTTGGAAATTGGCATCTTTTGAAATTTGTGTGAAATTGGCAAAATTGCCAATTTCTGACCACTTTATTGGATAGTTTGAAATCGGTAAATGGGTGGTTTCTTGTGCTCATTCGATAGAAAAAATGGAGTTCTAGTGAAATAGTTATGATTTTTGTCGACTGGTACGTTGGAATTGGCCGAAAATAGGGCTCAAAGTGGGTGAAATTGCCGATGCATAAATATCATCGAGACCGCTAACTTCGCGAGAGCATAATTCCGTAAGTTTTCTATCAAATTTCATACTTTTGTGTCATTATGTTTGGGAAAAGATTATCATTTCATAAGAAAAAATAATTTTTGTTTTTTTCGAAAAATTCCGACCCTGAGAATAAGTTTAGGAGAGGGCCTGCCGACCCTGAAAGGGTTAAAAATATACCAAGAATGTTATAAATGGTGTAAAGGTGGCATTAAAACAATATCAAAGCCAGTTGACACAAACCCACTACCATTATAATATGCTCCTCAATTAGTGACAAATTTGTTTACCAACGTGGTCTTAGGAACAGAACTTGGTCATTAAGTGAGGAGAGGCTGTATTATCCAGAGGGCTGAAGAGGGGTTTTTGAGGTAGTTTAGACATTTAGAGAGGAGGGTGCGACTGTGTTTCAACCTTATTCTGACTTATTGATGGACACTTAGACAATCCCCAGTATTAGTGCATTATATCAAAGGTTTACTGTACTACATTGAGATCAAGTGGGGATTTGTTCTTATCCGTGATAGATTACTTTACGAGATTTTGTGCATGACTTGTATTTTCCTGAAATATTAACTTCAAAATTTTCAGAAACATCTTGTATCATTCTATTCATAAACTGTTAGTAGGCATAAGTAAGTCACTACCTTAATATATACGTATTTTTAATAACCTTAGAATGATTTAGTTTTAATGTATATTTTTTTTTTTCAGGTTTTATGTATTTGTGTGTGCTTTGTGTAATGAAGGAAATGAGTTCCTTCATAGATTAGATGTTAAATGGGTAGATATTGTGCATCTGTCTATATTTAACTTAACTCTACAAGACTCAAAGACATATTTCGAGTATGAAGAAACAATCACTCAGTGGATTAACGACAACTGGGAACTATTGCAGGCACCACTAGGGGTAAGTTACCTACCTACCTCACTCTAATTCACTTATTTTACTTTATTTTTTCTTGTCGAATTCTTATTTAGCTTGTTGCTATAATTTTTATAACTTTAGGTCACAGGGAGGAGTAAGATGAGGTGAAAGATACTTGTTGCACAGAATTACTGAATTCATCGAATCATAAAGTAGAAATCCTAGGTATTAAAGTAGAAAATAGGAATCTGGTAATTATTCTAGTACAGTGGAACCTCGGTACTCGTACTTAATTTGTTCCTGAAGGCTGTTCGAGTGTTGATCTGCTCAAGTACTGAATGAATTTTTCCCATCCAAATTTCTTTTTTGTTGGCTGTTATCACTAATCTTCTTTGGTCCCATGATGAACAGGGTAATATTTAGTGAAGGGATTCAGGGAAACCGGTTATTTTCATATAGTCGGACTTGAGTCCTGGAAATGGGAAGTACAATGCCTGCACTTTAACCCTTTGACTGTTTTCGACGTATAAATACGTCTTACGAGCCAATGTTTCTGACGTATATATACTCAATAATTCTAGCGGCTTCAAATCAAGTGGGAGAAAGCTGGTAGGCCCACATGTGAGAGAATGGGTCTGTGTGGTCAGTGTGTACCACATAAAAAAAATCCTGCAGCACACATTGCGTAATGAGAAAAAAAAAACTCTGATCGTTTTTTTGGAATAAAACGCCGACTTTGAGGTGTATTTTCGTATAGTATTTATCGTTGTATTCGCGTTTTCATGGTCTTAGGTGATAAAATGGAGAACATATTACAGAAATAGAGATGATTTTCATTACTTTTACGATGAAAACGACCTTGAAACTGAGCTCAAAGTAGCGGAAATGTTCGATTTTTACCAATGTTCAAGAGTAAATAAATCACACCACACGTCCAATACACGTCAACTGGGGAGTCTAATATTCTTTCACTAGTGCACTGATATTATTTATACCATTTTTACAATAATGCAGTCGTCTGCATAACAGTAAATTTTGTATTTTTTTGTATGAATAAAAAATCAAAATAGAAAGCAATAATAATATAAGAGGGGCCTAGAGATGTGACTAATGAACAGAGCATATGTTATTTTAGTGCCACGAATGTCTACCTTGTTTATTCTGGACCCTATTTTGAAATTGGCATCTTTTTTATTTTGCGTGAAATTGGCCAAATTGCCAATTTCTGACCACCATATTGGGTAGTCCAAATTAGTAAATGGGAGGTTTCTTGTACTCAGCTGATAGATAAAATGGAGTTCTAAAGAAATAGCTATGAGTTTGGTCAACTGGAACAATGGAATTGGCTGAAAATAGGGCTCAAAGTCGGCGAAATCGCCGATACGCATATGTCGCCGAGACCGCTAACTTCGCGAAAGCATAATTCCACGAGTTTTCGACCAAATTTCGAACTTTTGGTGTCATTACCATCGGGAAAAGATTCTCTATCATTTCATAAGAAAAAATAATTTTTTTTTTTTTAAAAATTGAGCGACATAGAATGACAGTTTCAGAGAGGGGCCTGAAACAGTCAAAGGGTTAAAGGAGGGGTTTGGGATATTGACAGTTTGGAGGGATATGTTGTATGTCTATACGTATATGCTTCTAAACTGTTGTGTTCTGAGCACCTCTGCAAAAACAGTGATAATGTGTGAGTGTGGTGAAAGTGTTGAATGATGATGAAAGTATTTTCTTTTTGGGGATTTTCTTTCTTTTTTGGGTCACCCTGCCTCGGTGGGAGACTGCCGACCTGTTGAAAAAAAAAAAAAAAAAACAGTGAAAAAACATGAAATAGTTTACAGCGAAGTTCTGGCAGGTTGTGTTTGTTTGGTCGAGTGCCAAGCAAGCAGTTGACTACCGAGCTATTTTTTTTTTTTACCGAACAAAGCATTCGAATACCAAATTGTTTGAGTAGGAAGGTGTTCCAGTACGGAGGTTCCACTGTATGTTAACCACCGTTGGCAATGGCTGAGGAATTCATGGACCAGATAAGGAAGATAGATAATTGTCTTGAAAGGCTGGAAAATCCCACACCAAATATTATCCTCCTTGGAGATTTGAACCTCCCAAATGTAAAATGGAAGATGGTTCATCACAACATTATACCAGAAATAGTTTCTGGAAACACTGGCTCAACAGGTACATACCAGGGAACTAATGAGGCTTTGGGAAAGGTTTGCATTGAACTAACAGATTACTGATCCCACTAGAAATGAAAATACACTAGATTTGATATTCAGAAACAATGAGGAACTAATCAGACACTTAACTATCACAAAAACAACATACTCTGGCCACAACATCATAGAAGTATAAATGAGTGTTAACCTAGGGTTGGGGAACTACAGCATTAATGTACAAGAAGGGATGTTCAGTATATTTAATTTTGACTATCGTAGAATTGACTGGGACAGTATTAACCAAGAGCTGTTAGACATATCCTGGGACAGTATTAACCAAGAGCTGTTAGACATATCTTGGGACAGTATTAACCAAGAGCTGTTAGACATATCCTGGGACAGTATTAACCAAGAGCTGTTAGACATATCCTGGGACAGTATTAACCAAGAGCTGTTAGACATATCCTGGGAAAGTCATGAACATCCTAAATCCTCGCCAGTGCCTGGGGCTGTTCGACACATAATTTGTTTTGTACATTACGATTTTCACATTTTCATGTAATTCATATCCTAGAATTTTATGATGAAATTTGAATTATTCTTTCAATTTCAGCTTCAAAATATGCGGGTTAGTGAACGGAAGCACGAGGTATTAAGAGTACTGGAAGGAAATAGACCAAGGTATGGAATTCACTGAGTTGGTTTGTAGAAAATCTAAATATAACACAGCAGACTTGTGTGAGCAAGTTAGACAGGAGTGAGTGAAGACAAATGGTTTTTTGGAACTTTGAGCTGTTGGAGTGTGAGCAAGGTAATAGTATTTTGTGAAGGATTCAGGGAAACTGGTTAGCTGGACTTGAGTGCTGAAGGTGGGAACTATAGTACCTGCACTCTAAAGGAGGAGTTTGGGATATTTGCTGTTTAGAGTGTCATCTAAACTGTTGTATCAGTGTGCTTCTGGCAAAACAGTGATAGTGTAAATGATGATGAAAATGTTTCTTCTTCGGGTGACCCTACCTCAGTGGGAGATGGCCAGCTTGTTAAAAAATATAGATTCTCTTAGTTTTCAGTTTATTAAAGTTCATACGCAATGCAGAATTATCTTTTAAAATGCATTAAATTACAACGACGTTTCGGTCCGACTTGGACCATTTACAAAGTCGGTCCAAGTTGGACCGAAACGTCATCGTAAGCTTCTCTCTTTTATGTGCGGGTTATTTGTGTATCGTTCCAGTCACGGTATTGTGCCTTTTTTTGTTATTTATGCATTAAATTATTTTCATTACATGATGCGATTCTGTTTCAACAGATTTAAATGTGGACGTGAAATAAAGAAGAAAACCAGTATATGGGGTCTACGGGTCCGTGTTCCTCCGCCAGTTCCAGCAATAACCTTGCCATATGTTGGACCTATTACAGAGGACTCCATAAAACACATAACATTGCGCAACAAGAAGACACGCAATTCTGACAGGTATTATAATGAATTTTAAGACATTATTTTGTAATACTTAATATACCTGCAATTTTGTGTTATTTGTTTTAGTTGCTCTGTAGCCTAATTCTGCTTTCTGTATTTTGCCTTCTTTTTTTATAGCCCTCTAGCTATATTGATATTAGAAGAAATTATCATAATTTTCTTTTCTTTTGCAGGCTTTGGACAGCTGACAAGTAAACACCTGAGGCCGTTTTAATTAATTTGATAGATTAATTTAAAATTTCCATACACCTAATTTAGATTTTTAACAGGTGCAAATAACACTGTACTGTACACTGATATACATATTATTCACTATTTGTAACTACTATCAGCATGCACATTTCTATTGTTGTTCAATTATTTATTGCAAGGAAAATTAGTTGGCATTTATAGATTTGCTAAATATCATTCAACACTTACATGAAGAGAAGTAACAGATTTTGTTTTATCTAAATATTGTTCAGTTATATGCTTCATTGTATACACTTGGTCTATACACCCTCTACCCTTCCTAAATCCTCCTTTTTCATCTGCAATTCTGCTTTCCATCTTGCCCTTAATTCTTTCAATCATAACCCTACTATACCTTGCATACTTAGTAGGCTTATTACCCTATAATTTTTACTTTTTTATTTCCTTTCCCTTTATATAAAAGAACTATACATGTATATGCTCTCTGCCAGTCCCTGGGTGCCTTCCTTTCTTTCATGTATTTATTGAAGAAAAGTACCAACCACTCCAAAACTATATCTCCACCTGCTTTTAACATTTCTGTTATGATCCTGTCAATCCCAGCTGCTTTATCCCCTTTCATTTTACCTGTTATATGTTGGCAATGCCAACATATATATATCCAATAATCAGTCGGGTATGGCAGTCTTTTTTGAGCTCGGAAAAGCTTGTGACACTTCTGGCATTACACCTTCTTAGCCCAAACCCTCTGAGAGCCATTTTGTGTCCAGGTAAAGAATAGCTTTTGTCCTGAATTTTTCCGAGTTGAAGGCATACCTTAAGGCTGTGTTCTTAGCAGCAGCACCTAGCTTGCCATCAATAACTCTGCCTGTGTTCTGCCTTCCATTCGATTTTGCTGCAGCTTGTTTGGGTGTTGACTTTTGCTTTGTAGCAATCAGTTTGGTATTGATTGTGCTTCCAACTGGGCTACTACTAATGAGTTTAAATTTTGTTGCTAAAGTTCACCAGATAACTTTTACAAGATATCCTATTATCCCTTGTACTATTCTATACTTGTATAGCTCCCATTTCCCTGGACAGGATGTGGTCAAATTTCACTGTCTTCTGTTCATTTCTTGACTATCCTGGAAGCCTCTCATATTCTCCATGTAAGCTTCTTGTCTAGCTCATCTTTCTTGAGCAGGATGCTGATTGATGAGCTCTTCGCCTTTATTCAGCTCTAATCTTATTTAAACCAGACTACGGTGACTAAATATATTCTTGAGTCTCCCCCCCCATTACTATGTCTGCATTTGATTCCATTTATCATCACGGTTTACATTTGTGTTTCAGGGCTTTTCGATCTTTCCAAGTCAAGAACCTATATGCAGAAGCAAATGTCTCATCTTTACAATATTGAAGCAATTCCTTTCATGACCTTCACGTCCCTTTTGTGTATAGAATTGAATCGGATATTAGTGAGGCTAACTTGTTAATTTAAAGGTAGTAGGTTGGTAGACAGCAACTGCCCAGGGAGGTACTACCGTCCTGCCAAGTGAGTGTAAAACGAAAGCCTGTAATTGTTTTACGTGATGGTAGGATTGCTGGTGTCCATTTCTCTGTCTTATAAACATGCAAGATTTCAGGTACATCTTGCTACTTCTACTTACACTTAGGTCACACTACACATACATGTACAAGCATATATATATATACACCCCTCTGGGTTTTCTTTCTAGTTCTTGTCCTTGTTTATTTCCTCTTACCTCCATGGGGAAGTGGAACAGAATTCTTCCTCCGTAAGCCATGCGTGTTGTAAGAGGCGACTAAAATTCCAGGAGCAAGGGGCTAGTAACCCCTTCTCCTGTATATATTACTAAATGTAAAGGTAGTAGGTTGGTAGACAGCAACCACCCAGGGAAGTACTACCGTCCTGCCAGATGACTGTGAAACAGAAATCTGTAACTGTTTTGCATGATGGTAGGATTGCTGGTTTCTTTTTCTGTCTCATAAACACGCTAGATAACAGGGATATCTTGCTACTCCTACTTACACTTTGATCACACTTCACAGACACGCACATGCATATATATATATATACATACATCTAGGTTTTTCTCCTTTTTCTAAATAGCTCTTGTTCTTCTTTACTTCTTCTATTGTCCATGGGGAAGTGGAAAAGAATCTTTCCTCCGTAAGCCATGCGTGTCGTATGAGGCGACTAAAATGCCGGGAGCAATGGGCTAGTAACCCCTTCTCCTGTAGACATTTACTAAAAAAAGAGAAGAAGAAAAACTTTATAAAACTGGGATGCTTAAATGTGCGTGGATGTAGTGCGGATGACAAGAAACAGATGATTGCTGATGTTATGAATGAAAAGAAGTTGGATGTCCTGGCCCTAAGCGAAACAAAGCTGAAGGGGGTAGGGGAGTTTCAGTGGGGGGAAATAAATGGGATTAAATCTGGAGTATCTGAGAGAGTTAGAGGAAAGGAAGGGGTAGCAGTAATGTTAAATGATCAGTTATGGAAGGAGAAAAGAGAATATGAATGTGTAAATTCAAGAATTATGTGGATTAAAGTAAAGGTTGGATGCAAGAAGTGGGTCATAATAAGCGTGTATGCACCTGGAGAAGAGAGGAATGCAGAGGAGAGAGAGAGATTTTGGGAGATGTTAAGTGAATGTATAGAAGCCTTTGAACCAAGTGAGAGAGTAATTGTGGTAGGGGACCTGAATGCTAAAGTAGGAGAAACTTTTAGAGAGGGTGTGGTAGGTAAGTTTGGGGTGCCAGGTGTAAATGATAATGGGAGCCCTTTGATTGAACTTTGTATAGAAAGGGGTTTAGTTATAGGTAATACATATTTTAAGAAAAAGAGGATAAATAAGTATACAAGATATGATGTAGGGCGAAATGACAGTAGTTTGTTGGATTATGTATTGGTAGATAAAAGACTGTTGAGTAGACTTCAGGATGTACATGTTTATAGAGGGGCCACAGATATATCAGATCACTTCCTAGTTGTAGCTACACTGAGAGTAAAAGGTAGATGGGATACAAGGAGAATAGAAGCATCAGGGAAGAGAGAGGTGAAGGTTTATAAACTAAAAGAGGAGGCAGTTACGGTAAGATATAAACAGCTATTGGAGGATAGATGGGCTAATGAGAGCATAGGCAATGGGGTCGAAGAGGTATGGGGTAGGTTTAAAAATGTAGTGTTAGAGTGTTCAGCAGAAGTTTGTGGTTACAGGAAAGTGGGTGCGGGAGAGAAGAGGAGCGATTGGTGGAATGATGATGTAAAGAGAGTAGTAAGGGAGAAAAAGTTAGCATATGAGAAGTTTTTACAAAGTAGAAGTGATGCAAGGAGGGAAGAGTATATGGAGAAAAAGAGAGAGGTTAAGAGAGTGGTGAAGCAATGTAAAAAGATAGCAAATGAGAGTGTGGGTGAGATGTTATCAACAAATTTTGTTGAAAATAAGAAAAAGTTTTGGAGTGAGATTAACAAGTTAAGAAAGCCTAGAGAACAAATGGATTTGTCAGTTAAAAACAGGAGAGGAGAGTTATTAAATGGAGAGTTAGAGGTATTGGGAAGATGGAGGGAATATTTTGAGGAATTGTTAAATGTTGATGAAGATAGGGAAGCTGTGATTTCGTGTATAGGACAAGGAGGAATAACATCTTGTAGGAGTGAGGAAGAGCCAGTTGTGAGTGTGGGGGAAGTTCGTGAGGCAGTAGGTAAAATGAAAGGGGGTAAGGCAGCTGGGATTGATGGGATAAAGATAGAAATGTTAAAAGCAGGTGGGGATATAGTTTATGAGTGGTTGGTGCAATTATTTAATAAATGTATGGAAAAGGGTAAGGTACCTAGGGATTGGCAGAGAGCATGCATATTTCCTTTGTATAAAGGCAAAGGGGATAAAAGAGAGTGCAAAAATTATAGGGGGATAAGTCTGCCGAGTATACCTGGTAAAGTGTATGGTAAAGTTATTATTGAAAGAATTAAGAGTAAGGCGGAGAATAGGATAGCAGATGAACAGGGAGGCTTTAGGAAAGGTAGGGGGTGTGTGGACCAGGTGTTTACAGTGAAACATATAAGTGAACAGTATTTAGATAAGGCTAAGGAGGTCTTTGTGGCATTTATGGATTTGGAAAAGGCATATGACAGGGTGGATAGGGGGGCAATGTGGCAGATGTTGCAAGTGTATGGTGTAGGAGGTAGGTTACTGAAAGCAGTGAAGAGTTTTTATGAGGATAGTGAGGCTCAAGTTAGAGTATGTAGGAAAGAGGGAAATTATTTCCCAGTAAAAGTAGGCCTTAGACAAGGATGTGTGATGTCACCATGGTTGTTTAATATGTATATTTATAGATGGGGTTGTAAGAGAAGTAAATGCGAGGGTCTTGGCAAGAGGCATGGAGTTAAAAGATAAAGAATCACACACAAAGTGGGAGTTGTCATAGCTGCTCTTTGCTGATGACACTGTGCTCTTGGAAGATTCTGAAGAGAAGTTGCAGAGATTGGTGGATGAATTTGGTAGGGTGTGCAAAAGAAGAAAATTAAAGGTGACTACAGGAAAGAGTAAGGTTATGAGGATAACAAAAAGATTAGGTAATGAAAGATTGAATATCTGATTGGAGGGAGAGAGTATGGAGGAGGTGAATGTATTCTGATATTTGGGAGTGGACGTGTCAGCGGATGGGTCTATGAAAGATGAGGTGAATCATAGAATTGATGAGGGGAAAAGAGTGAGGGGTGCACTTAGGAGTCTGTGGAGACAAAGAACTTTGTCCTTGGAGGCAAAGAGGGGAATGTATGAGAGTATAGTTTTACCAACACTCTTATGTGGGTGTGAAGCATGGGTGATGAATGTTGCAGCGAGGAGAAGGCTGGAGGCAGTGGAGATGTCATGTCTGAGGGCAATGTGTGGTGTGAATATAATGCAGAGAATTCGTAGTTTGGAAGTTAGGAGGAGGTGCGGGATTACCAAAACTGTTATCCAGAGGGCTGAGGAAGGGTTGTTGAGGTGGTTCGGACATGTAGAGAGAATGGAGCGAAACAGAATGACTTCAAGAGTGTATCAGTCTGTAGTGGAAGGAAGGCGGGGTAGGGGTCAGCCTAGGAAAGGTTGGAGAGAGGGGGTAAAGGAGGTTTTGTGTGCGAGGGGCTTGGACTTCCAGCAGGTATGCGTGAGCGTGTTTGATAGGAGTGAATGGAGACAAATGGTTTTTAATACTTGACGTGCTGTTGGAGTGTGAGCAAAGTAACATTTATGAAGGGGTTCAGGGAAACCGGCAGGCCGGACTTGAGTCCTGGAGATGGGAAGTACAGCGCCTGCACTCTGAAGGAGGGGTGTTAATGTTGCAGTTTAAAAACTGTAGTGTAAAGCACCCTTCTGGCAAGACAGTGATGGAGTGAATGATGGTGAAAGTTTTTCTTTTTCGGGCCACTCTGCCTTGGTGGGAATCGGCCGGTGTGATAATAAAAAAAAAAAATAAAATAAAAAAAAAAGGAGAAAGTTTCGATTTTCCTTTTGCGGCACCCCGCCTCGGTCGGATACGGCCGGTGTGTTGAAACAAAGAAACTTGTTAATTGTTATCCCTATTTATTACACCCCATTCTCTTGGCATTCACTCTCATAACTCCCTAACTTACCTTCCCTCTACATTCACCTTGCATTTTACTTTTCCTTCTGTCCTTTGAAAGTTCTGATGATTCACGCTTACTCTTCCCCCATGTGCAAAAGCTCTCATGCTATTACTGTGTACACTGTTGGTTGTAAATACTCTAATGGTGTCTGGTATGCAGTTGTTTTTCTTGAACGAATCTTCGAAGGTTATTTATTATTCAGCCAATATTTTCACAGTATAGTTCTACTCAGTTCTCATTGCTATTATCCACATTGCAACTTTGTCTGCCTCTCCATTTGTAGATGTTTCTGACTCCCAAAGTGCTTTAGAAGCTATTTAGGGATTTGGCTCCCCTCATCCAATTGTCCTTCATATATAGCTTTGGCTATGTTACACTTCTAGTAATTGCAAGGAAGGCATATTGTGCTGATCTTCAGGGCAATGAACATGCAGACTTAGCTGCTTGGTCAGTTATTTATGACCTCGCTATTTCCCATACGAGTACTCCTTTCTTGGACTAGTATTCGGTGTTCACTGCTTCTGCAACTGCTGGCAGCAGCGTTGGTCAGCACTGGACACATGTGACTCTCTCAGGGATACCTCATAGAGAAATGACGTGCTCCACTCTGCTTGGACTATCCATCTTGCATATCTTGATAGAATGTCCTTCCTATTAGAGTGCTCCCAGGACCCACTGCCAAAGTCTGAAGCATCCCATCACACTCACTCTCACTGACCTCCTTGTTAAAAGCCCCACTTTTGATGCAGACTTATCTTTGACTTCTTAAAGGAACTGACCTACTGCACCAAGTTTAATTTCAGTTTTACTCGTGTACTAACCCCAACCTCCACTAACCTCTAACTTTGCACACCTACTACCCCTTGCTCATTTCTAGCATATACAAATTGCATCTTTTGCATAGCCCTCCCTGCAGTGTTGTATGATTCGCTTGAGTTTAGTGTTTAAATTTGTTAATTAATCTAATGTTCAAAGTCAAGAGGTGAGAGTTATTATTAATAATGTAGTGGTAAGGACTAAATCAGTAAGGGGCATACAGAGCCTGGGAAATGGGTAATTAGGTTTGATCCAAGGATAGGGAAGGTAGAGCCAGTTTATTGGATCAACAGCTCATCAGGTTCTAAGCTACCCCATTTAAGTGGTAATGGGGTGAGCAAAGTTTTTAAACATTTAAACTGAGTCAGTGAAAGCTTCCCTGATGAAACAGTAACTTAACTAGCTGTAAAAGATGGGATGGAAAGAAGCAAATGGAACAGATTGTGTACATATTTTATACTGTATTTTATTTTAATTTTACGAAAAAGATGTTTTTTCAGTCCACCAATTCCACGAAGCTATAAACTGCGGGACGACAAGCAAGAAGAAGTAGATGAAGCTTTGGCACGTTTCAGTCCAGCAAAGAAACGTGCAGTATCTCCTAATGTTCTAGAACAAGATGAAGAAAGCCCAAATAGCTCTGGCAAGAGGAAACGTAAGCGCGAATTGGACATCCTGATGGAAGATAAAAAAGTTAGTTTCTTATTATTTGGCTTTTCAGAGAGAAGAAATGAGAACTTCATGAAGGCTTGAGTCTGTAATGGCATGTACTGTAAAGCTGTTAACAGTATAGTAGCATGTTGTGAGAGTTTAATTTATTACTGTGGCTTGGAGATTACCCTTCTTGAATGGGTGTTGAGTAAAGGTGAAGGGCATAGAAGTTTCTTACTCACTTGGTATTGGTCTTATTTGGTAGAATTCTCAATGGCCTGACTCCACAAGACATGGCTGCTGCTACTGCTGCTGCTAATAATTCAGATACTTGATGCATGTGTCTGCCTTGGCTACAAAACCAGGAGGGTATAAATATATTTGACATGATATGGCCTCTTAATCACTTGTGTGTGTGCACGCGCACGCTTACATGTGCATGTGTGTGTGCACGCATGCTCCCTCTTGCAGAAACTAGGTTGGCACTGTCAGGTTCCACCACACTTGATGTATCCCTTTTCATCAGTTTTTTTTTTTTCACTGTTTCCCTATTGTGTGTATGGTGTCCAGTAACCTCTGATGTTCTCTTTCTCCTGGGGCTTTCTGCCAGTGACCCTGTTTCCATTTGGAAGACCTCTTTAAATTGTTTGTTCAGCACTTTGCAGACTTCCTTGTCATTTTCTGTGAGCTCTCAACACGTCCTTCAACTAGATTTCCCAGTGTTTCACTGTTGTAATTTTTCTGATATGGCTGTGATGTGTGTGCCATCAATGCTTGTCTGGCAAATCTTAAGAGTACCCATTCTGGGTCCTTTATACAACACAGGTCCATCTTGGAGTACACAGCACCAGTATGGAACTCCAACCTTAAAAGGCATGTTAAGAAATGTTAGAAAGTTCAGAAGTATGTAACAAGGCTTGTTCTTGAACTAAGGGGCATGAGTTACAAGGAGAGGCTAATGGAATTAAATTGAAAGACATTAGAGGCCAGAACCAGAGGGGACTTAATAATAATCAAAATACTCAGGGAATTGATAAAGTAAACAGAGATACTGTTTGAGAGGTTAGAAATGGGAACTTGGGAACATTGCTGGTTGATGAGGTTCTGATCCACCAGGAGACCTGGTTGAGGACTGGGCTGTGGGGTCATTTACTCCTGGAACCACCTCCAGGTTCATACATGCATAGTATGACATTGTGTTAACTAGTAACTATGGTACTGAAATTATATAACAAACAATTGGTACTGCCACCAGCAATACTGCCACCCACCAGCAGTACTGACACCCACCAGCAGTACTGCCACCCACCAGCAGTAGTGCCACCCACCAGCAGTACTGCCACCCACCAGCAGTACTGCCACCCACCAGCAGTACTGCCACCCACCAGCAGTACTGCCATCCACTAGCAGTACTGCCACCCACCAGCAGTACTGCCACCCACCAGCAATACTGCCACCCACCAGCAGTACTGCCACCCACCAGCAGTACTGCCACCCACCAGCAGTACTGCCACCCACCAGCAATACTGCCACCCACCAGCAGTACTGCCACCCACCAGCAATACTGCCACCCACCAGCAGTACTGCCACATCTCAGTGAGATTTGGCTGCATAACTAATCTACTTTTGTCTGTTTAAAATCATAATTTATTTGACTCTTAAGTAAAATAATATCACTGATGATAGCAGTTTGGAGGGATATGTTGTGTATCTTTATACGTATATGCTTGTAAACTGTTGTGTTCTGAGCACCTCTGCAAAAACAGTGATTGTGTGTGAGTGAGGTGACAGTGTTGAATGATGATGAAAGTATTTTCTTTTTGGGGATTTTCTTTCTTTTTGGGTCACCCTGCCTCAGTGGGAGATGGCCGACTTGTTGAAAAAAAAAAAAATTACTCGATATCATCTACTTTGTTCTCCTTATAGATAAATACTGCTACTCCTTAAATACGTATGTATGTTAGTCAATAATTTTAAAACTTTCTGGAGTTGGTTAAAGGAGCACAGATGAGGCAGGGAAAGTTTACCTCTTTCTGGGGCAGTTTATGTCAAGGTATTCTTGTTCTTATGCTCTCTCATTGAATATTGTTTTGTACTTAGTCTTTTATCCAAGCAGGAAAATGTAGAAAAATCTTTACTGTTTGTATAGGATCAGTAAGTCACCAGTCACATCAAATGGATTCTGGATTCATAATAAGATATGCTCTGAATGAGAACTAGATAAATGTCATTAGTATCCTAAGTTACTGACATTCTTAGACTTAGTCACTTAGGCAGTGAAGTAAAATAATTGTGTTTGTTAGGAAATAAGCCTTTCTATTTATGTAAAGTCAGACTCCCAAATTTCAGGCTTCAAATTTTGTTTTACTGGAAGACCTTCAACAAATACTTTCTGTTGCCTATTTTTTTTATGCTTAACTAAATTAAAAACTATCGAATAGGTTGGAGGGAGGGAGTTAAGGAGGTTTTGTGTGAGAGGGGCTTGGACTTCTAGCAAGTGTGCATGAGTGTGTTAGGAGCGAGTGGAGAGAAAAGGTTTTTAGGACTTGATGTACTGTTGGAGTGTGAGCAAAATAATATTTATGAAGGGATTCGGATAAACTGACAAGCTGGACTTGTCTTGAAGGTGGATAGTACAGTGCTTACATTCTGAAGTAGGGCCATTGAAGCTGGAGGTTTTTAATTGTAGTGTAGACATGCCTCTGGTAAGACAGTCGTAGTGAATGATGATGAAATTGTTTCTTCTTTTTCAGGTCATCCTGCCTAGGTGGGAAATGGCCAGTGTGTTAATAAAAAAAATACAGTGTGGTATTTGTTAAATATTGATGCTGTCTTGCTCAATGGACGTGAAGTTTCATGCTTATTTTGTGGCTGACTTATTACAGATATAAGAGGCTCATGGAATGGGTGTAGGAGAATGTTTGGCATTACTCAGGAGTTTCACTAGGTTTGGAGGCAGATACCATGGCAATTTCTGGTTGATTTTTTACTTATTTGTAATTTTCCTGAGTGTTTTGTTTTGTGAATTTATCATCCCTCTGTAAACTACTTGGGCCAGAAAGTTGATTCCTTCATAGTCACTTTTCCACTGTCATTCATGTTTATTTCTCCAATTTCATCTTTTTCTTTCACTTCCACCACTAAGCAGGACCATAACACTAGTGTAACAGAGAAAATCTTGTATCAGTTTATATAAATAAATTTAATGCCAAGGAATACAAAGGATCAAATTTGATGAGGCGGGGTGGCCCACCGAGGCGGGGTGGCCCACCGAGGCGGGGTGGCCCACCGAGGCGGGGTGGCCCACCGAGGCGGGGTGGCCCACCAAGGCGGGGTGGCCCACCGAGGCAGGGTGGCCCAAAAGGAAAAACGAAAGTTTCTCCTTTTACATTTAGTAATATATACAGGAGAAGGGGTTACTAGCCCCTTACTCCCGGCATTTTAGTTGCCTCTTACAACATGCATGGCTTAGAGGAAGAATTCTGTTCCACTTCCCCATGGAGATAAGAGGAAAGAAACAAGAACAAGAACTAGAAAGAAAATAGAAGAAAACCCAGAGGGGAGTGTATATATATGCTTGTACATGTATGTGTAGTGTGACCTAAGTGTAAGTAGAAGTAGCAAGACATACCTGAAATCTTGCAAGTTTATGAGACAGACAAAAGACACCAGCAATCCTACCATCATGTAAAACAATTACAGGCTTTTGTTTTACACTCGCATGGCAGGATGGTAGTGCCTCCCTGGGTGATTGCTGTCTACCAACCTACTACCTAGGTCAGTATGTACATTTTTTTTTTTTTCAACAAGTCGGCCGTCTCCCACCGAGGCAGGGTGACCCAATAAAGAAAGAAAATCCCCAAAAAGAAAATACTTTCATCATCATTCAACACTTTTACCACACTCACACATTATCACTGTTTTTGCAGAGGTGCTCAGAATACAACAGTTTAGAAGCATATACGTATTTTCATATAGTCGGACTTGAGTCCTGGAAATGGGAAGTACAATGCCTGCACTTTAAAGAAGGGGTTTGGGATATTGGCAGTTTGGAGGGATATGTTGTGTATCTTTATACGTATATGCTTCTAAACTGTTGTATTCTGAGCACCTCTGCAAAAGCAGTGATAATGTGTGAGTGTGGTGAAAGTGTTGAATGATGATGAAAGTATTTTCTTTTTGGGGATTTTCTTTCTTTTTTGGGTCACCCTGCCTCGGTGGGAGACGACCGACTTGTTGAAAAAAAAAAAAAAAAAACGTATAAAGATACACAACATACGTAGGTATGTACATACCTACGTTAAAATATTTTCATAGCTTACAGTGAGTGGTAAATATATTTATTGTAGGAAGTCTGAATGTAAGAAGAATGGGTATAACTGAAAACTGCCGTAAAGTGAGGCCCTCCTGCATGAATTACAATGCTTGGTTTAAGAGAGAGGGAAAGTTGTGTGTAGACATGTAATAGCAATGACAATTTTGGATCCAGTAGCTAAGCTCATGGATAACACCATAATATTTGTTTGAGTTGCAGATTCTCAAATCCAACTTGAGAATAATGTGATAAAACCACATGCAAGCGAGAGTTCTGGGAGACAAACTTGTGGATAATGCTATAATATCGTTTGCAAGTGGAAAATCCTGATTGCAGATACTGTCATAATGTATGTTATTCAAGGCTCCACAAATCCTAGCTCATGGGTAACTAGCAGTAGAACGAAAAGCACATTTAACAAGTTGATAAATTTGTGTATGAGTAATTTGAGGATATGCAGGGAGTACAGTATAGTATAGTGCTAAAATTGTGATGATCAGATAAATATATATTTTGTTATTATTTATAGATATGTTTAAACATGAAATAGAAAAATGTCAACAGAGTCAGTTGAATGAGAGAGTAAGAGAGCCCTAAACTGCAAATTTATTTATGGATCATCACAGAGGAGTTTAACTGCTGCAGTCAGTTTTATGTACTATTGATTTTATGATTGGGCAGATGCAGTGCCAAAAATAATTGGGTAAGAAAATAGATACTATAAAAAGTTTCCTTTTGAAATTTCAGGCCAAAAAAATGATTGAGGAACTTATACCTGTGATGGAAAACAATATGAGCAATTCACAAGCTCCTGTAAAGAGAAAAAGAGGACGGCCACCCAAGAACTTGCAGGGTATCAAGTGTGATGATCTGCGTGACCTTAAGCAGAAACGCGCCCAAACATTGTTGACAGAGGCACTGAAGCAGGTATTTGGTGTGGATGACAAGTGCATGATTACCACTCACCAACCTAATACATTTTTGAGACATTGGCAAAAAATGTTTTAGCTAGAGGGAGAATGTTTTGTAAAAATTCCATAGAAGCAAATTTAAAAAAAAAAGAAAAGAAAAAAAAGAGGAGGAATAAGGCTTAAGATTATTTCTTCCATATATAATTTATTTAGAATTAACATCCCTAAATCTTAAACACCATTTTTGTAAAAATTTTCCAGTGTTATAAACTGATCTTTAATCCATAATAGAAGACATGGAAGTTCATTAAAAAATTACATCATTACAGTATCACAGTTAGTATTCAACCTGTACTCATTTTCCTGGTGACTTCCTGATCAGTTGTTGCTGTCATGGTTGCAGGGCCACACAGCTATCACAACCTGGCTCACTTGCCACTTCCATGATTGCAGGGCCACACAGCTATCACAACCTGGCTCATTGCCACTTCCATGATTGCAGGTCCACACAGGTATCACAACCTGGCTCATTGCTACTTCCATGATTGCAGGGCCACACAGCTATCACTACCTGGCTCATTTGCCACTTCTGTGATTGCAGGGCCACACATCTATCACAGCCTGGCTCATTGCCACTTCTGTGATTGCAGGGCCACACATCTATCACAACCTGGCTCATTGCCACTTCTGTGATTGCAGGGCCACACAGCTATCACAACTTGGCTCATTGCCACTTCTGTGATTGCAGGGCCACACATCTATCACAACCTGGCTCATTGCCACTTCATGATTGCAGGGCCACACAGCTATCACAACCTGGCTCATTGCCACTTCTGTGATTGCAGGGCCACACAGCTATCACAACCTGGCTCATTTGCCACTTCCATGATTGCAGGGCCACACAGCTATCACAACCTGGCTCATTTGCCACTTCCATGATTGCAGGGCCACACAGCTATCACAACCTGGCTCATTTGCCACTTCCATGATTGCAGGGCCACACAGCTATCACAACCTGGCTCATTGCCACTTCTGTGATTGCAGGGCCACACAACTATTACAACCTGGCTCATTTGCCACTTCCATGATTGCAGGGCCACACAGCTATCACAACCTGGATCATTGCCACTTCCATGATTGCAGGGCCACACAGCTATCACAACCTGGATCATTGCCACTTCTGTGATTGCAGGGCCACACAGCTATCACAACCTGGATCATTGCCACTTCTGTGATTGCAGGGCCACACAACTATTACAACCTGGCTCATTGCCACTTCTGTGATTGCAGGGCCACACAACTATTACAACCTGGCTCATTTGCCACTTCCATGATTGCAGGGCCACACAGCTATCACAACCTGGATCATTGCCACTTCTGTGATTGCAGGGCCACACAGCTATCACAACCTGGATCATTGCCACTTCCAGGATTGCAGGGCCACACAGCTATCACAACCTGGCTCATTTGCCACTTCCATGATTGCAGGGCCACACAGCTATCACAACCTGGCTCATTGCCACTTCAATCATTGCAGGGCCACACAGCTATCACAACCTGGCTCATTGCCACTTCAATCATTGCAGGGCCACACAGCTATCACAACCTGGCTCATTTGCCACTTCCATGATTGCAGGGCCACACAGCTATCACAGCCTGGCTCATTGCTACTTCTGTGATTGCAGGGCCACACAGCTATCACAGCCTGGCTCATTGCCACTTCTATGATTGCAGGGCCAAACAGCTATCACAACCTGGCTGATTGCCACTTCTATGATTGCAGGGCCACACAGCTATCACAACCTGGCTCATTGCCACTTCTATGATTGCAGGGCCACACAGCTATCACAACCTGGCTCATTGCCACTTCTATGATTGCAGGGCCACACAGCTATCACAGCCTGGCTCATTTGACACTTCCTATAACTACCTCTGTTGTCCTTTCTTACCTACCTTTATATTATTATGCTTTTCTTTATTTGCTTCTATAGAACTTTCTCTCATTTACATTAATTATACTTCTGTACTAATAATTATAAGCTTCTGAGTAGTGATGTGCCAAAGTATTGGTATTGGTGAGTGTCAACCATTTTTATTGTATCTTATTAAAAAACAGTCGATACTTTTTAAGATATTAATATTACATGTGTGCTTAACAGTATCAACATTGAGAGTTACTCTTATGTACGTGCGTGCACACACACACTGTCAACATGTGTCTTTGACAACCATTAATTTAGCTAACAGAACAGGCCAAGTAATGATATTATCACCTCCAAGAAATGTAGTTATTGAATAACCATCCTCTGTTATTTAACCCTTAAACTGTCCAAACAGACCTACGTTCACATGCGTAGCGCTCCAAAAGTAGATCTATGTTTTTTTACATATTTTCAAATATTACAAAAAAAAACGTAGATCAAAGTTTTTTTACACGTTTTCAAATGTAAAAAAAAAAAAAGTTACGTTTTTTTACATACTTTCAAATGTTGAAAAAACGTAGATGTACGTTTAGACAGTTTAAGGGTTAATACCAGTTGTGAAATAAGCATTCCCTTGTATATTGAACATAATCATTATACAGTGAATCCCAGAGTTACATTGTCATCGGAATTCGTAATATTCGGAATAAGTAATGTTTTTTTGTCAAAATATTGGCTCGGTGATTGTCATTGAACTCTGTATTAGTCATTTGTCCTCAGTGTGTCTGCGCGGCTCGAGTGGTCCGACACACCATTTACAGCCAGTGTGACATTGTTCATCAGTCAGTGAGGACAATCCCGTGCATTCATATATTTTGTATTATTTCATTCTTTTAGTGCTTGCAACTGCTAAATAAGCCACCATGGACCCAAAGAAAGTTCCTAGTGCTAGCCAGCCCTTTGGTAAAGGGCTGAGAGAGAGGGGAGAATGTGCCTTTTTCAGTGATTGTGCAATATGTACGATACTTAAGCAGCAGGAGTCAGTGAAGGCTATAGCACCAGCCAGCGATAAAGTGAAGCATTAACAGTGTGGCAAGTAAGTTAAGCCATTAATTGATAGAAAAAGGACAGCACGAAATTGACTCCTTCATTGTTGTTGGAGGTATATAGGGCTACTGACTAACACCACCGCCTCTGCTGCCTCTTGCTGCCGCCTTCACCACCACTATGTATGGCTTATCTTTCAGTGGCCCATATACACCCAACGACAAACAACACCCCCACTTGTGACATTCTTAATGCCATATTTTATTCATTCTAGAGTATATATCATGTTTCTGTGTTATTAATATTGTTTATTATGTCATATTAGATGAATTATGCTAGATAAATAAGCCGTAGAGCTGATATTAGTGTCATATTGAAGGACTATCTTGTTCTGTCTCCCAACACAATTCCTAACATACGCCAGAAACAGACCTCTCTGGAACACTTTTTTTGAGCGACGGAGGTCTGGTGACTCAAGTTGGTCCTAGTACCATTAAAAAACAAAGCAGGGAAGTAACCCAGGATAAGGACTTGGTACCTGAAGTCTTTATGGAAGGGGATTCCCCTTCCAAACAATTGTTAACTCCTCCATCCTCTCCCCTCCTCCCATCTTCCATACATCACCATGTCTTCAATAAAGGTAAATGTGATATTATAATTGTTTTATTCTTCATGTATCATTGTTTTCTGTGTAGGGAAATGTATATTTCATGTAGAAAACATATTTTGTTAATACTTTCGGGTGTCTGAAACGGATTAATTGGATTTCTATTATTTCTTATGGGGAAAATTAATTTGAAATTCGTCAGATTCAGGTTTAGTCACTCTCTGGAACGGATTAATTACGGAAACTGGGGGTGTAAATATTAGTCAGAGGGCTGAAGAGGGGTTGTTGAGGTGGTTTGGTCATTTAGAGAGAATGGATCAAAGTAGAATGACATGGAGACCATATAAATCTGTAGGGAAAGGAAGGGTGGGTAGGGGTTGTCCTCGAAAAGGTTGGAGGGAGGGGGTAAAGGAGGTTTTGTGGGCGAGGGGCTTGGACTTCCAGCAAGCATGCGTGAGCGTGTTAGATAGGAGTGAATGGAGACGAGTGGTATTTGGGACCTGAGGAGCTGTTGGAGTGTGAGCAGGGTAATATTTAGTGAAGGGATTCAGGGATATGTTATGTATCTTTATACGTATATGCTTCTAAACTGTTGTATTCTGAGCACCTCTGCAAAAACAGTGATAATGTGTGAGTGGTGAAAGTGTTGAATGATGATGAAAGTATTTTCTTTTTGGGGATTTTCTTTCTTTTTTGGGTCACCCTGCCTCGGTGGGAGACGACCGACTTGTTGAAAAAAAAAAAAAATTCAGGGAAACCGGTTATTTTTATATAGCCGGACTTGAGTCTTGGAAATGGGAAGTACAATGCCTGCACTTTAAAGGAGGGGTTTGGGATATTGGCAGTTTGGAGGGATATGTTGTGTGTCTTTATACGTATATGCTTCTAAACTGTTGTATTCTGAGCACCTCTGCAAAAACAGTGATAATGTGTGAGTGTGGTGAAAGTGTTGAATGATGATGAAAGTATTTTCTTTCTTTTTGGGTCACCCTGCCTCGGTGGGAGATGGCCGACTTAAAAAAAAAAAAAAAAAAGGAAAAGTATCTATCAGCCAAAATTTTGGTATTGTCTCATCACTATGTCTGAGCTTTGTGTGCTTTCCTCATCATTGTATATTAACACTGTCTAGACCAGCATTTCTCAGCTGGGGTTCCCCAGAATCCTAGGGCTTTGTGAGAGGTCGCTAGGGCTTCTGAGAAAAATAGTGATAAATACACTAATCATGTGTAAATGCAAGGAAATCATGAGATGTTTAAACTACTGCTGAGGCTTAAAAGTGAAGAAGGATATCAGCAAATTTCAAGTCTTATTGAAACCCACCTGGAAGAACTGTGGATGAAAATCGAACATTATTTTCCCTTCCTTTCAACACAAGTGTATGATTAGTGAGGGATCCAGACTCTGAATCTCCTGCTCATCATGAGAACTTGACTTTAAGAG